TTGTTATGGCGAGACTTAGAAAAGATGGTAGTCGCTAGCCAGGCGGACTTAGAAGAAACCCTACCACCAACCAAATCGAGCAGAAAATTTACCCGCTTAGCTCATGGAACGTAAGTGGTCGCAAGAGACCGCTTTCTTTCTAAAGCGCATGGACACAAAAATTATTTTTTTTAAACTGAAAACAAATCAGCTTTTCCTAAGTATCTGGCTATAATTGCTGCGTTTGAAGTTTATTTGTACTTTTTTCGTACATGATCGCTTCGTCTATCTGTAAACAAACTTTTGAAAATAATGACTAGATTTAAAATTTAGAGCACTTTATTTAAAAAAAAATCGGAACTCAAATTTTTTTTCATATTTTTTTAGAGATAGTACATTAGTAGAGCTACCTCCTCTAGCAGTTTGATTCACCCATTCTGGCACACCCTGTATGTTTATCCACAACGGGGAAACTATCTCATCTGATGGAAAGTGATGATCAGGCCGAAAGTGGAAGCGAGTTGTGCTGTACCCGGAATCCTCAACCACAGATGAACTGGCTATCTTACCTCTAACTGCCGGAACACAACAAGTTATCATGATTGTTATGGCGAGACTTAGAAAAGATGGTAGTAGCTAGGCCAGGCGGACTGAGCAAAAACCCTACCACCAACCAAATCGAGCAGAAAATTTACCCGCTTAGCTCATGGAACGTAAGTGGTCGCATGAGACCGCGGTAACAATTGATTTCTTTGGATCGATTCGCTGGTACTTTAAGGGCTACAATCGAACCCGAAACCTCTGGATCTGAGACAGTTAGGGCTATATTTCACCGGGACACCATGGCGGCGCAACCAGTCGCCGGCTACCAACAAAATGTATGCAGCTTTGCGCAACCAAACGGACACCAGGTGAGTAACTCTCCTATAGAGCTGTATACATTTTGTTGGTAGCCGGCGACTGGTTGCGCCGCCATGGTATCCCGGTGAAATATAGCCCTTAGTCTTACCACTAGACCAGAGGTGGTTAAAAGACGAATGGGCGACTAAAGAAGCTATTATAAAACTACCGCCACGTAACGTTCGCCCAACAGGATGGGCACGAATTCAATATGTCGTTTCTTAATGTTAATTTTGGCTCGAGGTGCTGAATATAGATTGTTTTAGGATTAAGTATCTAATCATTGTTTTTTGTTTGGGTGATATAAACTAGTAAACGCTTGCGTTTACTTCTAGGTATCAAATAAGCTACCACCATCATATCAAGTTTGTCGCTATATCGTTTCGGTAGTTGAAGCACAAAATAAGAACCCTAGCGATGCAAAGCGAAGTACTTAATTATGAGTTTACCTTCTGTCTTATTTTGTGGTTGAGGTAAGATAGCCAGTTCCTACATGGCGAGGTTTCCGGGTCAAGCTCGTTTCTATCTTTAGCCTGATCATTACTGCTATGGCTAAAACGATAGCATTATTTTATTTGCTATCTTATTATCGCAAAAGCTTTCGTCAGCGTAAGAATTAAAAGTGGCTTACTCATCATCATCATTTCAGCCATAGGACGTCCACTACTGAACATAGACCTCCCCCAATGCTTTCCACGTTGATCGATTGGTAGCGGCCTGCGTCCAGCGCTTCCCTGCTACCTTTATGATGTCGTCGGTCCATCTCTTCCTCATCGTATTACTCATTTACGTATTTCTTACTCATAGTATTTTCATATTCAAATGTAAGTTTTATCAAAATCGGTCCAATCTTTTAGTGCGAGGGAAAAACAAAATTTCGCGTTTACAATTGAGTTAGTTAGACATAAAAGTATAAAATGTCACCGTAATGTGTCTCCGGTTGTNCTGGTTGTGGTAGGTCGTGGATTCAATTCCCACTTTCAAGTTTTTGACAGTCTCAAATGCTAAGAATTTTAATAACTTTACGTTTAATTTTTAAATGAAATAGATAATTGACAATTTGCTTATAAAATGATAGTTGTTAAAATGTTACGAAGCACGTACGTCCATTCGATCTCTACAAAGAACAGCTGTGACTAAAATTCGCAAAATGCGAGCCAAATTCTTATGCGATGATTTTATTGTTTTTTCACGAGTTGAGAGAACAATTTAGAAGACGAACGAAAAGTTAGTCGATGTTAGTTTTCTGTTAAACATAATACCGCAACTTTTTTAAACTTAACTCCTTTACCTCCTGAAAGATCTAAAATGATATTATTTTTTAACTCAATACTGGCTGGTTACTAAGCTCGCATACGCCATAGAAAAAAAAAGAAATATCTAAATTTTTCGAATGCGTTAAAATCAAAGAGCAGGGTTTATTTTTAATTTGAATTCACGGCTCTGGGTTCGAAGCCTTTTGAGCTACTTGTAGAGTTAGAGCAGGTATAAAACAGTCTAGATTTTTTCAATCTGAAATTGATTGATTAATCTAATTAATTTAACTAAACAATTTAGCAATCGTCCTTTTAGTAATGGATATCAGACCTTTGGAGATTTGCCTATAGGTAATTAATTTAATTGTGACTAAGCTTCGAGATGCTTTTCATTACTTTTAATGTGGCGTCAAAATTGCCTTGATCTTATTATTGTCATTCTAAATCAATCAGCTACCGCCTAGATCATTGACATGTCAGTTTTGATGCATCTAGAATCGGCGCTCTTCCAATTTAAGTATAATTAAACAATTACCTAGGTAACTACCGTATTCCGTTATATAACTAATACATTGTGGCCAGATGTTCTATTTCATGACACACTATACTTTTGGTGCTGGAATTAAAACTGAAAAACTTACCTTACGGAGAAAGCGTTAGAGATGAAAATCGTTAGTGATTAAAAATAATACATACCACATGCGTTTTAACGCACAAACATCCTTTTAACGTTGTACGCACTGATCACACATTTTCTCACAGCACACACGGTAAAAAATACACTTTAGTCTATGGCCTTTCCAGTCGTTGTCGAATTTTGAAAAAAGAACCGATTTAAATTTTCGAATCGGTCCGGCCGCTCGAGCGCCGGACTTGAATATAGCACGAAATCAGTTCGCACGGACGTTAGCTATTTATAATTTCGCTGGGTGAGCCGCGGTGGCCAGCGGTTTGGGAGCTCCTTACAGATAGTGCCCCAAGGATTTAGTGGCGTGAATCTTTGAGATGTAGCTCAAGGTATATTGGCTGGCGGCTTTATATTTTGACTGAGAGGTTACACACACCCGGGCCGACTTTCAGCTTCCTCGATTGTGTCAACGGCCTACTGAATGGAGAAAAAAATTACAAACATATTTTAAATTTTCTCATTGCCAATCTTGTTTACTTGTTATAACTAAAAGCTATAAATATACCGCTAGAATGCCACGTTGCAATGTGATAGGATTTGGGACAGGCAGCAGCTAGAAATAACGTTGATTGACATACAATACTTGCCTATTGTTTATTTCGGTTAATGTTAGGTGGCTCAGCTAATTGCACGGTTTAAGACTAAGAATGTTCTGGGTTTTTTCTTTCGCTGTAAAAGATACAGTGTATGGAGACTGAAACGTTCATCATCATCATCATCATTTCAGCCTGAAACGCTAATTTTGGATAAAGATTCGTTATTATGGTGTACTTTTTAAAGATATTTTAGACTATCTATTGAATATTTAAAACAAGATTGCGTTAGATAAATAATACAAAAACTTCAAGGGTTCAAAATAAATATATTTACTGCAATTATAACAACATGTGATTACAATATGAATTACTGTTCAATATTTTCTATTCTATAACACAATATAGGCACGGCTTACAGACAAGTCGCTTTTATTATTAATGTTCAATTATTAAGGGGTGTAAATGTTTTCTCTATCTCTCTCTTTTTATTTTAAGGTATATCCGTAATCGGTACGTAGATAGAGCGTACGCACTGTCCTGTATTTTTCATACAAATAAAACAGTAAAATTGTGTCTGAACCGCACATGTTAAAGATAATTCTTTTTGGCGATAATTTTATGTTAAATCAAATGATTCTCGCAATAGTATTTTAAGGGTAAGATAAAATTAATTTATGGTGTTTTGAAATAATATTTGAAGACGAATATTGAAAAATATGTGATTATGAAACGCTTTAATTTCAATAGATAAAATTTGAAATCAGTGCCATAAGATAATTAATTAATCATTGAAAGAAAAACCTTTTCCTCTTAATAATAATAATTTTAATTAGGTTCGATACAATTACAAGGATAAATTATAATTATTAACAAATCACAGATCATGCACACAAAATTTGTATTTAAAATTAACCTAAGAAATAAACTAATGAAACGAACATACGCCACGGAAATTATGATGATTGAATATTTTCATTCGATTTTGACCTTATGATAAGCGAATAATGCTCAAAATTCTAATTATGGTGGCAATATTGGGGCAGAGCCGTATAAAGGATAAAATGTGCAGATTTGGAATCAAATCACTTTGAAAAATAAGCTGTGATATTGAAATACAGTGATTTATATGGCGTATGTCACCAACAAACCTACAAGTCGAAATAATTTTAATAATATTCAAGGAACTATAAAGCATTACAACATTTTTTGACCATACAAAAATCAAGAGAAAAGCAGTGTCATACTTGCATTAGAAGGGATATTGAAAGTATGGCCATCTCTTTCTAATATGAAACAAACACAAAATCTGATAATAATGCTAGTACGGTATTGGCATATAAAGAAGAGTGACATTTCAAGTCACTATAATAATATTCATCACAGATGCGTATTATTGATGTTTTATCTAAAGCCCGGTCTCCGAGCACGTAGAATTTTGTCCAATGACCCCAAGCTACCCATCCTTATCGCTCACGCGTAATTATGACGCTGTTGCGCTCGCACACACACTGCGGGCGCCCGTCGCACAGTCGCGACTGCGAGGGATAAGGATGGGTAGCTTGGGGTCATTGGACAAAATTCTACGTGCTCGGCGACCAGACTATAATAATAAATTAGCGTTTGCTATGTTGTCAATAATAATAATGAATTTTCAAATAATTGTTTAAAATATGATTGAAATTGACCCAAACGAAGTGGCGAAACTTAATAATACGATGTCTCTACATAATAAGAATAATAATATGAAAAATCACAGTATTTACAATGCGTGTAACTACGAAAAAATGTCTTAACCCATCAAGATAAATACGTGCAGGGCTAGCTGTTTTCAACCGACTTCAAAAAAGGAGGAGGTTCTCAATTCGACCCGTATGTTTTTTTTTTTCTATGTTTGTTACGCGATAACTCCGCCAATTATGAACCGATTTGAACAAATCTTTTTAAAACGTTAATTTGACACTGACAGTTCTTTGTAGAATCGCCAGTTAGCTTGAGTCCTTTATGTCCTTAGTTTATGGTTGAAAATCAAGTAAAAACAATGAAATGTTGCCTCTTTTGTACTAATGGGGCATGTATTTTTTCTTGATGGACGTTATTTATTATATTATCGATTTGAACTTTTATTCATGACTTATGTGAATAAGTAAGAAAAAATTCAATTAAACATGACGATAGCAGTATTTTTGAGGATTTATTCGAATCATAGGGAAAAGTAATTAATTTAAAATTGATTATTCAAGATACAAGACTTTACACCCTAACCATCAACAATAATTAAAGATTATTTTGTAATCATTATTATGTAATAATTACAAATCATAAAATCGTTGTATCAACATTGTTTTATACAAATTGCAATTACAGAATTTTTAGAAGTCTTTAAACACATAGTTTTATATCAGAAATTTCATTTTTTATAATTAAAAGTGTAATTGATATTGTCTTCGATCCAATTTCTGATATAACACTATTTCTTCCCGAATATTATTTCTCGTCGCCATCTTGTTCAACTGTCAATTGACCCGTATCCAAGATGGCTTCCGCGCTCGGTATGACAATGACATCTGTCACGTTTTTGGCACACACAACGTCACACACGTCTTGATTCTCGCACGTATCGCACGCTACAGTTTCTGTTTCACTTTTTCCTTCAACGCATTTGACCATATTGTCGTTTATGGTCTCCATATGTTTCGCCACATCGAAACCCTCGTGAATATCTCTTATACCACTTGTACTGCAAAAGTTTTCAATTTCTGAGCATATCCTTTTGACACTTTCATCGTGGCACGTCTCACAAACTTCGTCGCCATTGTTGCTTGATATTCTGACCAGCTTTTCTGATTGTAGGTTGATTAATTTTGTATCTTCTCCCAATGTAAATATGACTTTTTCTTCGGAGGTTTCCGAGGGTTTTTCTTCTATGTGTGTTGGTATTTCGGAGTCGGAATTGTGAGTTTTGAGGAGGGAAGGTGGCATATCAGCGCTGTTGGCTTGGGTTAGCTTCATGTTGTAAATGTTGGGCTCACTGCCCATGATCGATGTGGTCGACGCATCCAGATTTGGCGACTCCTGTTAAAAAAGTCGGGTTTAGTTTAGGGTGGAGAAAAATAAGGTCTAACGCAGAATTTGACAACAGAACATCAATATCCTTATTGATTTGAAATTCTTCAATCAACTGACAACTTTTTTCTCTATAGCTTATTTTACTTTGAAATTGTTTTTTTTTCTTCTGGTTATAGCTTTTTATTTTCGTTTCAAATGATCATAATTTAAAAAGCTATTAAAGGTATCCGATTAGGTTTTTGTATTAGTAAGCGTTAGACCTTTTCCCTGAAAATATATACAGGCAATGGCATATAAATAGGCAGTCACGTAAAGCAAGCTAAATAAAACCGTTAAAAAAACATGGAGTTAAAGCAGTTAGTAAAAAGAAGCCCAAAATATAAGAAAAAAACTTACACCAACCAAAAAACCACTGAGCAGCCAAACAAAAAAAAGAAATAATAAAAATATTGCGGAAAAAAAAGTTGATTAAAAACAAATGATAATTTGAACGCCACTGTGTTTTTACGTTTAAGGTTTTTTTTATGTTAGTAACTTTTAGTTGGCAGGCAAATAGGAATGGGCATGGGCTAGGAATCATAATACAAACAGGGCCGTGACGTCACATCTGGAACGGACGGGGTGGACGCGGAAGTCACAACTCCGACTTGTGCGTTCGAGCACAGAATAATAATAAGTACTACGTACAGAAGGTTTACTTCGCGAAGGTATTTAAAAGAAATTATGCTCAATGTCGTTAACAATATGGTGTAATTTACTTGTCTCAAGAGTCAAGCACCATTTTGTTGACAAACGTCAGTGATCGGTACTGCGCCGAAGCCATAGGGCTGACTTCGATAAAATTATGTGTGACGTGAGGTGCCAAACTGCAGAAAATGGCGGAGGAAATACATGATTAGGCATGAATTATCGAATAATATTAACAACTTATTTACCTCTCAGTGTCTTCATGCTACTTAAAAAGTACATTATGTTTTTATTACTGCACAATATTTAGTACACCATTTTCTCTATTTTTTTCCATCATACACAAGAATACGCGTGCGTGAGTCAATGTTTGCTCGTATGTGAGGCCTTGTCGAATAGTAATCCTGTAGGGGGCCATCGGGCGTGTTTTGTTTTCGATGTAAACTCGCGGAGATGAACAGGTCTGATATGAGTGCGAAGGAGAGTCGCATTAAAGCGAGGTACGCAGTAAGACCGATTGGGTTGTAGAAGGACAAGGAATTAATGTAATTGAGAAGGAATTTGGGAAAACAAAGGGATATTTTTATTGAAAATTGACACAACAAATAATCATGCAAAGATGGATTGTGTAACAAACCAGAACCAGACGCTTGTGGAATGAAGATATCGATTAGAAAAGCCGTTTTGGTGTTAAAATATTAATACATCAAATGCAATTTAGTATGTCAAACACACCTAACAATATTGTTAGTTTTCTTATGTTTTCAACTTTTATTAAGACGCATAGTAGAATAGTTTTTTGCAAATGAAAATTGGTGAAATTGAGTAGGAAAAAAAACACAAAGAATTGTTGAGCTACAAAGAAATTATAGAAAAATACTATGTCAATGTTGCCCGTTCTATCAAAATGATAGTTAGTTTTTTAATACTATGTATCAAATAATATCCATATCGATTACTTTTTTGACAGACGACTTTCATCACAGAACTGGAATCAAAAGTTATTATTTATCTGACAGATAAGTTACTATAGTCTATCCAATATAGCTTGATTAGAATGACAGCTGTCATCAAAAGTAACGACATAACTTTGTAGTAGCGATCAATGAGAGCTAAATATTGGCGGACAAGAAATAATTCACGTCTGACCTACAAACAATATTTTCGACGACAGTGCTTCCAATAAAACTGATAATTTCATGTAAATGCAGCGTTAAATTACACCAATAAGTAGTAATTCGAAATCATAAAAATCAAGCTAGAGTATTAACGACGTCTCTACAAGGTTATCTCGAGTTACAAAAATGTTAGTGTTGGGACATATCGACAAATGTCATATAAAATTAAAACTATTCTTTTAACATATTTAACAATTTCTTTTTCTAACTAATTTTTTAACATATTTAAGTCAAGTTATACGTTTTTCTAAATGTTCACTATTAAAAACCAAAAAACATTTCATTCTTAAATAATCAAACATCGGAAATCAATCACCGGTAATTTTTTNCAGAGGGTTTTTCTTCTATGTGTGTTGGTATTTCGGAGTCGGAGTTGTGAGTTTTGAGGAGGGAAGGTGGCATATCAGCGCTGTTGGCTTGGGTTAGCTTCATGTTGTAAATGTTGGGCTCACTGCCCATGATCGATGTGGTCGATGCATCCAGATTTGGCGACTCCTGTTAAAAAAGTCGGGTTTAGTTTAGGGTGGAGAAAAATAAGGTCTAACGCAGAATTTGACATCAAAACATCAATAAGGATGGCTCTGAAATACATCAATCAACTGACTTTTTTTTTCTTTATAGCTTATTTTACTTTTAAATAGCTTTTTCTTCTTCTGATTATAGCTTTTTATTTTCTTATCGAAAGAATAAAATTGATCTAAAAAAATAATAATTAAAAGGTATCCGATTAGGTTTTTGTATTAGTAAGCGTTAGACCTTTTCCATGAAAAATACATACAGGCAATGGCATATAAATAGGCTGTCACGTAAAGCAAGCTAAATAAAACCGTTAAAAACAACATGGAGTTAAAGCAGTTAGTAAAAAGAAGCCCAAAATATAAGAAAAAAACTTACACCAACCAAAAAACCACTGAGCAGCCAAACAAAAAAAAGAAATAATAAAATATTGCATAAAAAAAAGTTTATAAAAAACAAATGATAATTTGAACATCACTGTTTTTCTGTTCAAGGTCTTTTAAACGATGTTAGTAACTTTTAGCTGGCATGCCAGTGGGATAGGAATAGGATCGAAAAAAATACAAGGACAAGGATTTACCATTAAGTAATGGAAAAGGAATTTGGGGCCACAAAGTGATATCTTTATTGAAAATTGACACAACAAATAATCATGCAAAGATGGATTGTGTAACAAACTAGAACCAGACGCTTGTGGAATGAAGATATCGATTAGAAAAGCCGTTTTGGTGTCAAAATATTAATACATCAAATACAATTTAGTATGTCAAACACACTTAACAATATTGTTAGTTTTCTTATGTTTTCAACTTTTATTAAGACGCATAGTAGAATAGTTTGCAAATGAAAATTGATGAAATTGAGTAAAAAAAAAAAAGAACTGTGTAGAGAAAATCATAGAAAAATACTATGTCAATTTTGTCCGTTCTGTCAAAATGATGGGTGGTTTTTTATGTTTTTTTTACCAGACATCTTTTATCACAGAACTGGAAACAAAAGATATTTGTTTATTTAAAACTTTTTTGCACACACAAAAACAGCACAAAAGGCGAACTTAATGTCATATAGCATCTCTCCCAGCTAACCTTAGGCATAAAGTTAGTGTTTATCTGATAGATAAGTTCCTGATAGGTTATCAAGGACTTTGGTAAAGCAGGCCCAGATAATGGCAACAAATGCCACTGCTTTTATACATTGTTACACGTGTTAATGATTTTATCATGACGTGTTAGATCAGTGGTTCTTAACCGGTGGTCCCTGGAGGCATTCCAAGTGGTCCACGAAGACATCGTAATAAACAAGTGATGTGACGCGATCAGTCGAGTCAACATAACGCAAACGGCGCACAGTGGGCGAGAAATCGACCTCCCCTTTCATAGGATTTTGAAAAAAAAAGTGGTGGTGGACTTAAAGGTTAAGAATCACTGTGTTAGATCATACAAAGCATAAAGCCACGCCACGCCACGTCACGTCACGTCACGCCACGCCACGTACCTGGTCATCATGGTAGCTGCCGACGCTCCGCGAGTGCCGGTGCCTCTTCAGAGCCACTTGAGGCGCTTGCCCGTCGACCGCGTCCTGTCAGGACACACAGTAAGACCACCAGGCTCTGGGAACGGGGCTGGGTTACTGTGTTAGTTTGGGGTGTTGTCTTCCGATCAATAGCAACTGGTATACTATGGTGCGTATTAGAGATGTAAGCTCATAACTCAAATTAGACGATTTAAGCCAGACTAGTCGTTCGTTTGCAGTACCACACACGGAAAAATGGTTTGACGCAGACCGTCCCATTCGCAAAATTTTCACATTCAGATAAAAATTAAGCCTACGCATAGACCACCGACTTTTAGTTTGCTGATAGTTGGCTGTTAATCAGTATTACCAGGCCTNAATTTTTTGGGTATTCATAGTACCGTTGCTCTAGAAGAGATGCCCACCGCCCTCTAGCGAGAGGAAAAAACCACTGAAGAACACCGATGATAATGACTACGACTTAGGTTGTACATCTACTTAGGTTTACTGTCTTTAAATTTAAATCATAATTGTCATTTTTATGAATAAAGATATATGAAGATAAATTGGGTGCATTTTTTCATATCATTATTTCGAAAACTTATCGATACATCTATGTGAACCGTACGAAACATACCCATCACTAGTCACATTCGTTTGACAGCCGTCATTCCAATCAAGCTATATTGAATAGACTATAATAGGTTATCAAGAACTTTACCAGCAGCATTTGGTAAAGCAGGCCTAGACAACGGCCTGTTAAAAGTTGCGCTGTTTTATATATTTTAACATGAGTTAACGATTTCAATTTCAACCTGTATAAGACCATACAAAGCATAAAGATCATAACAGACTTATCAACTCGTAAAGGGATCCACACTTTATCGCCTTTCGCGCGTTCTCAACCGCGAGCCGAGGCGTTTACGTTACGGTGCAGATAAGTGTACGGAGTTTCATACAAATAATACTGACCGCCTCGAGTTGATACGGTTACGATCCGTTTCCGGGTTGATAAGTTGATAAGCAGTGGACGTCATTTGGCTGAAACGAACGAACGAACGAACGAAGTATACTGTGTGTGATAAGTGTACGTCGTTCTTTTTTATGCAAGACAAGGCAGTTATTTGACCGCAATCGCATCTGGTGTTAAGTAAGATGCAGTCTAGGATGGTACATATCTGCCCTGTAAGTGCCTATTCACTCTCGCCTTGAATAGTTAGTCCATACTAAGCATAAAGCCACGCCACGTCACGTCACGCCACGCCACGCCTTGCCACGCCACGCCACGTACCTGGTCATCATGGTAGCTGCCGACGCTCCGCGAGTGCCGGTGCCTCTTCAGAGCCACTTGAGGCGCCTGACCGTCGACCGCGTCCTGTCAGGACACACAGTAAGACCACCAGGCTCTGGGAACGGTGCTGGGTTACTGTGTTAGTTTGGGGTGTTGTCTTCCGATCGATATGTAACTCGAAAATGACCCGACTGGTAAACTAAGGGCTGATTTTTAATCGTGAATCGTCTTTTAACTGAAGAATAAACTTGTCATTTTGACATATTTCCCGTACTGAAACTGTCAATGTGCCAAACTTTGACGGTAGAAAAATCAGCCCTAAAAGGCGAAGCTCAAAACTCAATTTGATTTTAAGCATAGGCGAAAGCATGATTGGTTTAATTTGGGTAGTTGACACCAACACTGAACTGGAGGGAAGTTTAACCTTAATTTCGAACTACTCCAATGTTCTTCTGATTAATTTCGTTACGGGTCCAATGACAGTTTAACTTTCCCCCGGGACAAACTTGACCTTCACTGGTTGGGTTTTAAAATTTCAACTCTGTAGGTCATTTAGTTCCGAAGTTAAGCGAAAGCAAAGTTTCGCATTTACGACACTCACTCACTAGTCACACAACATTAACTATAATAATAAAGAACTCGCAGTAAGGAACCATAGACTTGGCACGACTTTGTCTAGATTTCATTACTTTTTAGAGATAAACAAGCAGCTCCATCGAGACTTGGCTAGTTTTTTACAGAATGTTTTTGGTGGGATTTAACATACTGAATATAGCGTAGGACCGGTCGTCGTGGAAATCCTTGGGGGACGCCTTTGTTCAGCAGTGGACGTCATTTGGATGAAATTAACGATCGAACGATGCAATATATGCGAACATCAAGCCTCCTGGGACAAACTTGATTTTCACTGGTTGGGTTTTTATTGGCGGTCAAGCTGTAGATCCTGGCTACACAGGACTTGCAGCGGTGGGAACGAGAGGTGGGAATACATAGTTCCGTTAGTTGACACCAATAACCAATTCCAAGATATGACTTCTTTAAAACAAACACTTAAATCTAGCCCGAAAAATCGAGTTGACTTTAATTTGGTACTCGATTAGTACAACTCGATTTTAGTTGCTTTTAAATCAATAAATTGTTATCAATTGAGTTCGCGAACTGATGATGCAGTAATTGATGATTTCCATATAAAATCTGAGGGAGATATGATTTTTGACACCAGTGTCAACCATCCAAACAGACCATAAATGTTACCTGTAAATACTTATAGGACAAAAAGCTGGAAGACGAACACATACCATTACCACACAGTAACACAGCGCCACCGTAAACTTAAGCAGAAATGTATAACAAACACTTTTTAATATAACAGTCAGTTATTCAACCCTGCAAAAAACAGTATAATAAGTCATATAATTTAAGCAAATAGGGGTATTTTCCCTTTTGGTTAAAACGATCGAACTTTTGATCATCATTTCAGAACATAGGCCTCCCCCAATGATTTCCAGACCGCCCGGTTGGTAGCGGCCTGCATCCAGCGCTTGTGGGTGGACATTCTACGATGTATGTACGAAAGAACAAAATTCCTTAATAAACATTAGCGTCTAGTGCTTAAGGCGATTATCACACTGCGCCGCGCTCCGCCGCGGTCCGCATGATTTCATATAAAAAATCCCGCGCGCAGACGCGTTGTCAGTGTGTTGTGCCGCGCGTGTTTTCTATACAAACTGAGGTACTTGCATACAATGATTAAATCTGTCGTCCCGCGTACCGCGGCGCAGTGTGATAATCGCCTAACTCAGTGTCTGGGATATGATAGTGGCACGGGAGGTGATGAGTGATATTGACATATTATTATGACGTACAAAGCAAATAATTTTGAAGGCTATAGGCTCTCCCTAACGTTTGACGTCACAAAAACACCCTCCCCATACCTCAGGCACTAACTCAGCTAAGTACTACCTACAGTTTTGACTAGTATTTACCTTAAACCTGTTGAACTGCCGAAACTTCCCCCTATCGGTAGCCACAAGACTCCTTAGCGATTGCGTCCGTGGACACTGGCTATCGGCCAGCCAGCGATACGTGCCGAATAGTTTCGAAGTGTCGGCGCTGTGGAAACAAAGAAAAGTAGATTATTCAAAGTATAGATGGCATTCATAAGTATTCATGGCATTAAGCTCGCCTGTTGTACCACTGTATTTTTATATGTGCAATAAAGATTTTAAATAAAATAAATAAATAAATAGAATAGAATAATGTTTTATTGAGTGCTTTCACTGAACATAATATCTTACAATCAATGGAAGTTGTGGATTTTATAAAGCTTACTTTTAAAATGTAGGTATTTTGTGTGATTTAAAGTAATTTGTCTTTATTTATGCTACTCGTATGTTACCTTTCAATCTATCATTGCTTGGTTTGGCCCATTTAAGCGATTTTATGAGAGATCTTGTCAGACACTGAGTACCCTACATACAGCCTAAGTTTAAACACATGGTGGCTGATGATTGACTAAATAATCACAAATAAATAGCATCTGCAAGTTAATCCAACATTATTTCAATAGTTTGATATATCTGGACCGCCGCTGGCGCCATCTGTGAAAAGCTTTGCGTAGAACCTTTTTTTTAACTTACAAGTTACTCGGCGTAGTGAGAAGCTTCTGTAGATTGGCCAGAGTCGGTCTCAGGTCTTAGACGTGCATTCCATAGAGCCCATAGAGGCCCCATAGAAGTTGAGCGATGCATTTGTTGAGGAGAAACATCATCTTCATCATTTAACCGCCTCTGTGGTCTAGTAGTAAGACTACCTACTTCAGACGTAGAGGTCCCGGGTTCGATTCCCAATGGGAGCAGATTTTTCTGTTCGGTTTGGTTGGTAGTTGGGCTTGTTCTAAGTCCGCCTGACTAGCTACCACCATCTTACCTAAGTCTGTCGCCATAACAACAATGTTAACAGCATTGTTGTGTTCCGGCAGTTAGAGGTAAGATAGCCTTAGCCAGTTCCTCCGTGATTGAGGATTCCGGGTGAAGCTCGCTTCCACCTTCGGCCTGATCGTCACTTACCATCAGGTGAGATACAGGCCAAGAAACCTCGTTGTGGATAAAAAAATCATAATTTCAGCTATAGGACGTCCACTGCTGAACATAGGTCTCCCTCAATGACTTCCACATCGCCCGGTTGGTAGCGACCTGCGTCCAGCGCCTTCCTGCTACCTTTATGAGGTCATCGGTCCACCTTTTAAGTGGACGTTTCATGCTGCGTTTTCCAATAATGACAGAAATAAACACTTACAAGTTACTCGGCGTAGTGAGAAGTTTCTGTAGATTGGCTAGAGTCGGTCTTAGATCTGAGACGTGCATCCCACGGCCCCATAAAAGTTGAGCGATGCATTTGTTGAGGAGAAACATCGCGTAGAGGAACAGAGTCGAGTCCCCGCCCCGGGCAAATAGGGGTATACTGAAAAATAGGTAATGGTCAAATGTGTTAAAAATACAGTTAATAAACCACTTAGAATAACTAAAGCCTGGTCCGTGAGCACGTAGAATTTTGTCCAATGACCCCAAGCTACCCATCCTTATCGCTCGCGCGTAATTATATTGCTGTCACGACTGTGCGACGGACGCCCGCAGCGAGTGTGCGAGCGCGAGAGCAACATAATTACGCGCGAGCGATAAGGATGGGTAGCTTGGGGTCATTGGACAAAATTCTACGTGCTCACGGACCAGGCTTTAGATCCATGAATAATATGCCTATAGCAACTGCTGTTACAACAGAAAATTATTTTATAATCAATTTGCGTAAATAAACAATATAATTATTTGGTCAACAGCAATGCTTTTTTTTTCATTATTTTCGCAAATCAACAGCAAAATTCTTGTTTATTGTGACAGCAATAGATGCTACGTTGTCATGGCAGTAACAGCTCATGAACCAAACCGTAAGGATTTTCAGCCTTGAGTCTTTTCAGTCCTTTGAATCTTTTCAGTTTTTTTGTTCGTTCTGCATAAAAACTAGTCCCTTTAGTATAAGCCTAGGCGGAAACCACCGATTTTTTAGTCGGCCGATAGTTGAGTCGGGCTTGTAAGTAATCAATATGGAGATGTCGGCCAACTAAAAGTAAGGACTCAAGACTTACAACCTTAATTTCGAACTCCTCCTATGTTCTTCTGATTAATTTCGTTGCGGGTCCAATGACAGTTTAACTTTCCCCCGGGACAAACTTGACCCTCACTGGTTGGGTTTTTGTGGCGGTCAAGCTGTAGATCCTGGCTACACAGCAGTTGCAGTGGTGGGAACGAGAGGTGGGAATAGTCCCGTTTAACATTAATTCCCGCCGTGGCAGACGGCTCGTGGGCTGTTACCAAGTACAAGTGCAGGCAGAGCAGGTAGTAAAGGCGCGCGCGCACGGGTGACTTTTGTCACAGTATGTCAACTACTAATTACTGTCATGGTGACAAAAGTTTCTGTGACTGACTGTACGGTAGTCAGTCACAGAAACTTGAATTTTGGGCACATTAGAATAATAATTTTTAACCAAGGTAGATAAAGTTAAAAACGGGATTACTTCCAAAAAAACAAAAATTGTCGACAAGTACAGCAAAAATTTACCAAGTGTTATACCATTTTGGAATCCTTACTAAATGCGCCAAATTATGACGTCACTTGCCACACTCGCGTAGTACATTTTTTTTTCAGTACAGTCAGTTTAAACTAGGCAAAATTTTTATTTTGAAATTTTTTTTGGGAATAATGTATTTTTTTCATCCAAGCTGGAGCAGCTGGTTTTGTAATTTTGATGACAATTTAGAGAAGCATTATTCAGGGTTACATAACAAAAAAACATTTGGAAAAAGTGAAGATTTGTGGCAACACAAGCAAAAGGACCGACACCTGGAGTAGAATTTTTTGATTTTTTTTAAATGCCTATTATTTTTAAAATATGCCACATAGATTTTTTTTTATATTTTTCTGATAACCAGCACAACTTGCCTCAACACCCAGTTCCGGCTTGACGTTACATTACGGGACACCCTGTACATATAGCTCGCAGAACTAATGACCGTTGGGTCAGAAAAGTTTTTGAGTGGCGGAAAACGTAATGAAGGCAGGCCTTCTACAAGGTGAACCGACGATCTGGTGAAGGTCGCGGGAAGCAAGCTGAGTAAGAAAGAAATAAAAACTTACAAGTTACTCGGCGTAGTGAGAAGTTTCTGTAGATTGGCCAGAGTCGGTCTCAGGTCTGAGACGTGCATCCCACGGCCCCATAGTAGCTGAGCGATGCATTTGTTGAGCAGAAACATCGCGTAGAGGAACAGAGTCGAGTCCCCGCCCCGGGCGAATAGCGGTATACTGAAAAAAATTGTGATGGTCAAACTAATGTTTCTTTATATTTTTTCAAAACTTTCATGGTCACTAACAGAATGTATAATGATTATTGACAGGATTGCTATCATGTACCCGCCAGTTTCCTCAGTTACACCGTGATCGTGGCGCTTGTAACAGTGCCGAAATATCTATGAAATGAATTGCTGTTCGTTAGTCTGATTAAAACTCGAGAACGGCTGGGTAGTAGGGAATTTAGTGCAAGAACCCCTCCACTTTGGTATAGAAGGCTCATTTTTGCAACAGTGGTTCTTTGGGTGCTCCTGAGTGGATTTCCGTCGGTAGACATCGGGAGCCCCCCCTGTGGTAGCAGGGGGAGGGGGGGCAAGTTTCCTTCCGCCGCGCTTCACTTTAAGACCCATATCTTCAAAACTATGGGTATTAGGGCAAGTGTGGTATCATTTTCAGATAATTAAAGGATGGCGAATTCATTTCTAGAACAAACTTTTTGCCTTTTCATACAAATAAATAGAGATATTGAACAAAATTCATAAAAACCAAAAAGTATTTTTTTAAATAAACGTCGTTTACTTTTAAACCACTACAGATAATCTAATAAAAAAAATATGACCTGAAAGCTACATTTATCAGGATTATAAAAATATGACATTGTATGGTACTTTCTTCGCAAAAAGTAGGTGAAAAAAATTTTTTCTTCAGGACACAGCGGGCGAATTTTATTGCGCATCGGAAAAAAATATTTATTTTATCCATGAATTCATACTATTTGGTTCATAAACAAGCAAGGATTATTATTTTAGAATTTATTTAGAGTTGCTGGCACATCAATCTACCATGATTTGTATTTTTTCGTCAATTCATTTTGAACTCTATGTGTGAGACTTAAGGTTGAAAATGCTTTAAATACATTTTAATATCGAAAATATCATAAGAAGAAAGCACTAAATAAAGAACTTTAATTTGTCTAAACGTCTTAATTATTATTATAATTTTAATTAACACTTTTATTTCTACATACTATTGTACCAGTGATTTAACGGAAAGCTAAGTGTGAGGAAAATGACATTTTTAGCACAAAGGTTACGGCTGTGACCGTTTTAGTTGTTTTTTTCAGACAGCACCACACCAGCTACTGCACTACTTCTTGCACTTACATCTCACCATTTCCAGGCAAGCCTCGGCAGCTACGGGCAAACCGGTCCATGTAGGCTCCATGTTGCTATCGACTCTGGTCCAGTCGGGTAAAGGGAAGACTGAGTCGGTTGCTTGCACCGACCAGTCGGGTAAAGGGAAGATACCACCCCCAACCAGTCGGGTAAAGGGAAGACTGAGTCGGTTGCTTGCACCTGATCCTATACGCGAATCCCTTAATATACTGCCAGTAGCCAATGCTGATACAAAGCTGCTGCTGCTGTCTGGGTTATCTTATGTAGGGCCTAAGCTAAGCTAAGCTAGGTCTAAGCGTAGTCCACAGCGACCCATTAGGATCTTTATGCTCCNCTATAGAGCTGTATACATTTTGTTGGTAGCCGGCGACTGGTTGCGCCGCCATGGTATCCCGGTGAAATATAGCCCTTAGTCTTATCACTAGACCAGAGGTGGTTAAAAGACGAATGGGCGACGAAAGAAGCTATTATAAAACTACCGCCACGTAATATCCGCCCAACAGGATGGGCACGAATTCAATAAGTCTCATAGCAATGGCTTCTAAAACGTTAATTTTGGCTCGATGTGCTGAATATAGATGATTTTAGGATTAAGTATCTAATCATTGTTTTTTGTTTGGGTGATTTAAAACTAGTAAAAGCTTGCGTTTACTTCTAGATATCAAGTAAGCTATCACCATCTTATCCTCAGATCATAGAAGGGAATAGATGTGAAACGGGGGCGTGGCGCGTGTCTCCGCGATATGCCCAGAAACGAACATCGGCCGCGTAGCTAGGTTAGTCGCGATTCAGTCGTACTAAGGAAATGTTCTCCGATATTTTGGATAATGCGTCGTTACGTGCAATAAAACAAGTGAAAAGAAGAACTACAGGAACAATGGAGTCATTTATTAAATGTAATTATTGCAAATCCATTGGTATTTTGCTTATAAATAAAAAAAACTAAACATTTTTACGAACGAATTCAGTGCCGTAACAGTTACTGCGATATCGAAATCAGTGGTGATAANGATATATTACCACTTCGTTTACTTTTAAAAAAGGATCCTAATTTTCGATATGGTGATACTTATAGATATCGTGGTAAGTTATTTATATTTATAAATATATTTTTTTACTTATCTATGCCATCTTACAACTTTTGAACGTCATTTGTCACTGTCAGGTAATGTCAAAGTCAACCAAACGGTTTTGGTGTGAAAAATTTCAAGTTTTTAGCGCGCGTTTTTGGTATTTTTGAAACTTTGTTCAACGAAAATTCTGATAAGTGTTTTTTCGATTCAAAATCCTAAACTATAACATTTATTGTATAGTCTCACTTATAGGCAGCGTCTGCAATTGATTTATTCATATAGTTTAGACATTTTAAAGAAGTGGTAAATAGTTTACCACTGTCCGATCCCGTCTTGACAAAAGTTTGATGATATATAAAAATAACTGCTGTTTTTTGTATGTGCATAAATAAAACTAAATAAATATTTGGAGAAATTTTAAGTTATTTTGATAACTGTTTACGCAACGTTTTGACATTACGTAATTAGTGAATTTATTGTTAGTTTCAGACTCAAGGTAAGCATAACAATTATTATAAATAACTAAGTATGTTAATTGTAAGCATAATGACCAATATTAATAAATATTATTTTTATAAAAACAATATTATTTCATTCCCAAAATATTTAATAAAATATAGGTAGAACCAAGAGGAAGTCACTAGTCAAGAACCAAAAAAAAACCAAAACGGACAATGGTAACTATTTTACCATCAACATTGAATAATTTTAAGTCATGAATGGATAATGGTAAATTATTTACCACCCAAAAAACTACCCCTTCCCCTACTTTTTGATAAATTTTGATCAAAAATATGAAATAAGTGACCCACAATTACCCAAAATCCACTTCAACTTTGTAAAAAAAAATGCATACCAGCTCGCATTTGAATAAGGGTTAAAGCATTTAAAATTCAGTGTGAAAATTCGCCATTTTGTAGGTTGATCTGCTGTCGACTGACGTGTATTTATTTGGCTGAAATTCTCGAGATTGCTTTCTTTGATGGCTTGATTGAACGTGTTATAAATGTACAAAAAATATTCAAAATATGTTTTCGTGGGAAAAATGAAAGCTCGACTTTTATGAATGTGTAAAAAGTAAATTTGGTTTGGTAGACAAGTTTTTTTATTAAAATAAAAACTGATTTATTATTTTTTCTTTTAAATTGTTATTTCTTGTTGTACATTTCAGTACAGATATATCAATATAAAAGTATTCATTTATTTTCAGTGTGTAAAGAAACTAGCAGATATTATTAATAGAAAACAATACAGTATATCCTAAGTAGCAGCTTAAAATTCTGACGCCCGTATTCACAAACATTACTACGTGGTCTCACAGTGCGCGAGGACGCACAGGGTGACATACGAACCAATCACAGATCTCTATTCAACGCTGTGCGTTCGATTTGCTGCACTTAAGCAAGCATCGTTCGTTTGTGAATGCGGGCGTAAGAAGCGTTATACATAGATCGCTATGCAAACAGACCTGACCTTTTTGATTTCAGACTAAACCTCGTATTTTTATCGTTTCTTCAAAGGAAGTTATAAATTCTTATTTATTATTCATAACAAAGGAAAGGAAATGACCGCATAAATCTCTCTGGACAAAGTACAGATCGATGTCATGAAAAATAAATCTTTTTACAATATGAATAATGTTGATATCTGTATTTTAAATAATCTGCACCAATGGTTTTGAGAATATTCTATAGATAAGTTTGTCATCAAGTTATATACTGATATCAATCATGTCGTTGTATTGTAATAGGTAAGATTTTGTTTTAGTACAAATAAAACGAAAATTCAACTTTCCTAAAAAAGATATTGTACAAGCACTTTTAATATTGGACACTAAGGGTGGATTCGACCAAACAAGAGTAAATATTATTTTCAGAATAAACTTGTCATTTTGACATATTTCCCGTACTGAAACTGTCAATGTGCCAGTTATACCAGGAGTTATTCTCGGATAAAGTTTGGTCAAGCACCACTTGAACATCTATAAAAGATCGAAAAAATATCGCAACTGGATATATTTTACATGCCTCAGTCGACTAAGACTGAGTTGCATCCTTTACATTTACCGTAATTATAACCGTAACTAAAACGATAACTGGTGTTTTTGTATGGACTTTGACAGACTTATGACGTCTGTTATAGTTAATGTAAGACGGTTAGTTGTTAAAAAACATTGCAATAGAAACACTTTCAAACTCCATTACATGACCCAAGTGTCCAAAGAATGGAAGTTTCCCAACTACGTTTGTATGTATTTGTAAACCAATCATCATACAGAGACCATCAAGGGATACTGAAACATAAATCACCAGAAAATAGAGGCCATTTTACTGCATTCGTTGTTTTCTTAAGCCGTGTTTGCACTAGCCGAGTGAATTTAGTCGGGTGACGAGTGATAGTACCTAAACGTGTTCCAACGTCAAAAAATTTTTCGAGTAGGTTACTAAATTGTTAAATCAAGCCAAAAGTCGAACCTTAACTTCGAACTCTTACACTTACAATTTTTTAAAAAAGACTCTTTATCTGGTCTTAAAACTTAATTAATTTTTAAATGGTTGCACTTTAATTGAAAAAAGTAATTTGAGTTGACAAAATAGTGACGTCACTTGCTTGTATTGCCATACAAAATATATGGGAGAGTATCATTTTGACAGTTTAAAAAGTAACGTCAACGGTGTCAACACGACCCACTACAACGAACTGTCCTATGACATTGACAGGGGCCGCCACCGTCAATACCGGATCGCTGGTTCCGATTTTTGCCACGTTCGCATTGGAAACTTTAGCCCCCCTGCCAATGAGTTTGATGGGACAGTTCAGTGTAGTTTATCTATATTACTCGACTAGTGCGAACAAGGCTTTACACCAATGGAAGGACAAAGTTAGGATCTTGTTGAGACAAGTTCGGCGATAGAATAACTTCCATCGACATGTCACATCAATATTGTTTTTGTGTTATACATTAGCCACTTATCCGAGGCTATGTAGCAGATAATACGACAAATTGGAAGGAAAGATAATTTTCTTTCGCAAGAAGAAGAAAAGAGATAACCAATATCGTAAATGTGAAAAACATGCTTAGTGCTTACAAAGAAAGTACTCGTAATTGATTTGTTAATGAAGTGACTATCGCCCGTATTCACAAACATTACTATGAGGTCTCACAGTGCGCGTGGACGCACAGGGTGACACACGAACCCATCACAGAGCTCTATTCAACGCTGTGCGTTCGATTGGCTGCTTCACTTAAAAGCAAGCATCGTTTGGGAATAGATCATGAATAAAGAATGTCCTACAACTTTACCTTAGGTTTGTTGTTGTATTTTCTTGCACTGCTCAAGTATTCTATTTTGTTAATCGGATCTTAGTAAAGTTAATTTTATACGTCATAAAATAACTTTAAAATATTTATATCGAAAGGCGACTCTTAACGCCAGAAAATTTTATAACTATGGTTCCAATTTAACTGTAATTAAACGAAGGCGTTAAAATCACAAAGTAAGAAAAACTTTTTGCTGAAGTTCACAGACACTATTCAAAAAGTCTCATAAATTCACACTGCCTGTTTCATAGAAACTTTACATGGACTGAATAGAAATTTTCCTCAAATAACATCTTATTTGGCAACTCAGAAGTTCGGTAATGGACCGCCAACGGCGTGAAGGTCGCCAAGTGTTGTCTATGGTAATATAAGTAAGTAAGTAAGAAGACGATTATTTTTAGAATTACATCTAGGTAATTATTTATTACAATGGACATCACACAAATACAGGCAATTACATGACAGTGGCACATAATAAAGGAAAAAATAAATAAAAACAAGAGTAAACTGAGCAGTGCCACCCATTCACAAATAAGATGCCCACTGCAATGGGACCTCACTCATATGCCGTGGCCTACGGTGATAAAGGCCACGGCGCTGGTTTTCAGTGTGCCCCAAGCTGAGTGAGGGTCACGGACCATTTATAAAATAATAATTCAAAATATACTTTTATATAGATCTGAATTGCCTATTATTTTAATCCAAAACAAATTTAGGTAATAGTGTTTACCTATCTGGGGGCACGGCAGTGCCCCCGCCAAGTCGAGCGCGAAGCAAACACTGCCGTACCATCCTTTACTGGAACCATTTCGCCGCATTTTCAGGCCCCTATTTGAGAACCTCTGGATAAGANTAGAACCCTTAGTTTTGCACACAATTGCTTCTACTCTTTCACAGTTTATCGATATCGATAGACTACCACCAACACTAACCTGCTCGATATAGAATATCTGGTGTAACTGAGTCAGCAGATCGCACCGCAAACTTTATTGCTTCTTCTCTTTCACAGTTTATCGATATCGATAGTCAACTACCACCAACACTAACCTGCTCGATATAGAATATCTGATGTAACTGTGTCAGCAGTTCGCAGCGTAAACTGGCCAACGCAGCGTGCGACCGCGCCGCTAATTCCCTTACCGCGGCACAGGATTGCTTCTTGTCTTTCACTGTTTCAGTCCGACGGGATAACGTGTGGTAGTCTTCCATCAGTTCTGACCCTGGAATGGACAGTTGTTGAATTTTGGTATTTTTGAAGGCAGGTCACGGAGGAGCCGAGCAAGGACCTGTTTATCACCAGGACCTCACGAGTAGTCGCAGTAACTGGATCGCGCTGCGCGAGTTCGCGCACTCCTAACACACAATCAGGCGAAGTTACGAGAAGAAGTGATGACATTTATCAACGATAGCAGCCCGACGCGAAGTACCGTATTTGTGGTGTCAAGCCCCAGAAGGGGGAGAATTGACTATGAGAAGGGACATGGATCAGAGTTTGTAGGGAGTCAAGCAAAGCGCCCGGGGAAAGGAGCCCAGAGCAAATACCCGCGCGCTCTCCTGAGATTCGGTTCGTACGCCGTGAGGCAGGAAGAACCATGGGTGGTGGTAGGGCGGTCACGGACTTGTTAAAATGTTTGTGGATAAAGGCTGTGGTGGGAATTTGTTGTACAGTCAACTGTCAACAGCACATAGCTTAGGTAGATCGTTTCATCCACGAAGACGCGCCCCACCAATTTTTGGTCTCGGTCGCGCGGGGTGCGGGGAGTTTGATCCGAGCAATTCGAGCGTCATTATTGTAGTGTGCGTGTGCACTCATGGATAATTTTAGCGTGTACCGATAACACTAAAAAATTCGCGGAAGAGTAGTGGGGCGTGTGTTCGTGGATGAAACGATTTATAATAGACTATACATTTTAAGGCAATAAACGATTGAATATTGAAACTGTCCTCCATTTTGGTCTTTGCAAAATTGTTCAAAAAATAATCGAGACACGCATATGAAAGAACTAGTAGTTCCCGAGATTAGCGCGTTCAAGTAAACAAACAAACAATCAAACAAACTCTTCAGCTTTATAATATTAGTATAGATATAGCATCATCATAAAGGTAGCAGGAAGGCGCTGGATGCAGGCCGCCACCAACTAATCTGGAAATCATTAAAGGAGCCTATTTTCCGCAGTGGACGTCTTATGACGATGAAAGAAAACTTCCAAAAACATCTGTACAAAATTCTTGACAAACATCTTGACAGGCGTCTTTGAGATAAATTACTTAGATACTATTTAATTATGGTTTTGTGCGGTTAACAAAACACTCACCTATGTCTTGGTTCTCCTCAAACAGCTTAGCACGTATTTCTTTCAGTCTTCTAATGTTGGCCAGCTTGCTGTCCCTTTCATCCGAGAGTATTATTCGCTTAAACCTTAATATTTCTAATTGTTTTGTTAGTCTTATATGCTCTGACCTTTGGAAAGGCGAGGGTTTTGACTGAAAGAGAAAGAATATAATGATAACAGTAGTTTAAGGAAAGATTATTATAAAATATTGAGAAAGAAAGTATATTTTTATCTTATCAATAAGTAAGGGAGCGGCGCGATGCGTGTTATTGGGACCATAAGTCAGCAAGACTTCAGGTGTGCTTCAGATAAATTTTTCAAGTCGTATGTCACCCCTCCCGTGCCGCTGCCTATAGCAGAACTCTACTGTTGATTTTTTATGAAGATACACACCTTAAAAGACAGGAGATCATTCAATTTTAACGCTAATCTTGGTCCATTAGAGACTGGAGGTTTCTCCTCCTTAATCCTACCATTTTTGACCGTCAAGTCACTCTGAGACGACGACTTCTGTTTGTCCAAGCCTTCATCATCAGGCGAAAAGAGGTTCTTTTGAGACCTGCTCTTGTATCTTAATCTAATCTCCGACTCATCGGGCTGAGACCAACTGTCATTGGTCACCGCAGACTTCTGGTATATTCTTTCCTTAATTTCCTGAACCGCCTCTTGTCTTTTCTTTATAGAATACTGTAGCAAATGCAACTTTTGCAGCTTTGTTGCGTTATAACTCGGCCGTATCTCAGATTTTAAGAAATTTAAAGCCAAGTATCTGTATTTGGGTGCGCCATCCATTTCGTTCCTCAAATCGTAATTCTCAGCGGTCTCACTCAAGTCGATGTTACTGCCCGCTAATTCTTCTGCAGATGCGTTTTTGGAAAAACCATTAGTCATTTCCTTGACGTCTAAATTCTCTGGAGAATGCTCGTAAATGTAGTTCGGATCGACTTTTTTTGCCTCATTACCATCTCTGCATCTATCAACCCGCTGGCTTGAACCTATGTTCATACTGGCAGAGTTTCTTATCGCCGGAAAATTCTGCTTGAAAGTTCTTTCAACAGGGCTGTTGCTTTTCGAATACTCCTTTTCGTACCGTTTGGAGAATTTGCTCGGCGATACCGACCTTGATTCCTTCAGATATTTATGGTTTTGTATGAACTTGGGTTCTAGCGTCACGCGGGATAGATTCGTTTTGCCTGAAGAATCTGATGACAACGAGCCATGTTCCAATTCATTTTCCGGAGGTATTATATCGAGTTTGAGACTTTTGTACGAGCAGAAATATCCTCCGTGCATTTGGAACACTAGTGTGTTGCTTTTGAAGCAGTCTGAGGTAAAGTTAAGAGCTAGATTTGCTCCTATATACCTTAGACCCGTGAAGTAGACCCCCCATGTTTGAATTACGGTGTCTTGGGTTGGCTCGGTCTGGTCGCTAGGGGGCATGGTGTGACACCATATTCTGATGACGACGTTTGTTGAGGACATGCGGTGGGTTAGTTCTGTAAAAAAAATAGTTTATTCAGTACATAGGCCCTTTCCAGGGCACTTATACACGTCCCAAATAGAGCTTGCCCTACCAACACTTCGGGATAACATATGGGCTGGTGCTGAGAAGAAGTGGCGGGAGAAAGTCACCTTTGTAAAGAAATAAAATTAAAACGATGTTAATTAAAATGATTTAAGTGTTGACTAAAAATAATGGATTGAGTCATAGTTTAGTGATATTTAATATTGACAAGAACATTAGTTGATGTTGAGTTACCTATAAACAAGGAACCATTTTGTGATACAATCTTAATTAATCATACATAAACATGTATGTATGTCATAATAATAAACATTAAAATGATGATGAATTGTTATTCTTTCAAATTATTGGACGGGTGTATTGATACTTTATTGTAATATATCTAATATACCAAATTAATGTGATATTTAAACTTAAAAATAAGTCAGTTAACAAAATATCTCAATAAAGAAAGATTGGTTTTAGACTTCACGAGAACGAAGTCCCATCTGATAGTGAGAGAACATAATCATAATATTATTTAATTACGAATAACAACTGCTTGTTTACAAAAACCGAAAAGTGTTTTTTATCGTGAATGATAAAATGTGTTGGCCACTTTAGATGATAAACATTTGCACTTTAGGAATGCAGCGAGTAAAAATAGATTCTTTAGTATCTTCTTTTGCTTTTATTTTTTCTTTGCCTTATAACAAAATGTATACAGGGTAACTATTACGGTGTATAGAAATTTCATCATCATTTCGGCCACAGGACGTCCATTGCTGAACATAGGCCTCCCCCAATGATTTTTACATTGCCCCGTTGGTAGCGGTCTGCATCCAGTATTGACATTCACAGGGCTTGTAGGTATGTATCTTAGACTGCATCTCACTTAACATCAGGTGTGATTGCAGTAAAAAACCTGCCTTGTTCTGCATAAAAATGAAACAAAGAATTTCAACAATAATAATAATATGTAAAAAAATATGCATTGGCCTAGAAAATTCAAAATTGCTTGTGGACCTAAAGGCAAAGACATAAGACATAATGTCGTATAATTTAGACAAATCAAAGCTGAGTTTTGACTGGAACTAATGCATCACTCAATAGATAAGAACAATAACACGCGTATGAAATAGTACAGTAAACAGACCATAGTTCGAATGGCATATCGAGATACACATGGGCTCTTATACCGTTGTAATAAATGCCAATTTAGAGCAAAAATATAGTATTATTTGCTGTCTGTTGTACTGTAACCCTATTCCAGATGTACTGACACACATTTAAAAGATAACTGGTTTATCTACTAAACAATATGAATCATTGTGAGACAGAAGTTCAGTGTTTTTAGGATAACGGACCACAATGCAGGTTAGTCTCTCAATTAGGTTAGTCTTTTTATCAATTTTGGTTGATGATTTTTCTTTAAGCTGGGTCCAGACAGGTGTAACGCGTAATGGGAATGTGTCGTGTAATGTAATGGAAATAGTAACGGCAGCACGTTACATGTAATTATCGTAGAATTCTTGTTACATTACACGGTGGATTACATTACACATTACACTCGTCTGGACCTGAGTTTAGACCGGTCCTGTGCTGCCCGCATCCAGGCACTTCCCGCGATCTTCACTAGATCGTCGGTCTACCTAGTGGGAGGCCTGCCCATTCTTAGATTTTGCATAACAATAGAAACTTAAGACATCAGTTGTTTGTTTATTGACTTTAGTTGCAATGAATATGGTTTGCAGGGCAGAGATTTTCATTTCTATGACATATGCAATTAAAAAACGTGCTTGCCTATTATAACAAATATCAATATCCGGTAGATGCTAATACCACAGCTAATACTCGTATTTGTCATTAAGTACATTTCTCATTAACTTAAATTTATCACTAACTAGAATTTAAAGAGTAGACACATTAAACATTGATAAATAGCTTTAAAATATACATTCTATGAATGTTATGTAGTATTGTTGGGCATGTATTTAAATGATCTTTTTAAATTAGCAAAAACGGTAGATAAAAAAATCTAAATGGTCATCTATTTTAATGATTGATCCTCTTTCTTTGAGACATAAAATAAATAAAATCGATCGATATTTTAACCTCTATTGAACTACGCAAAAAAAATTGAGATGNCCAGGAGATCTTTAACGTTTTACATAAATATATTGACTTGGCCATCGCATGAAAACACGTGTAAATTTAATTATTTAGTGCGATGGCCAAGTCAATAATTTATATAAAACGTTAAAGATTTCCTGGCCTGGACTTGGTATTACATGGATCTCACAACTTTTTACCGTAGAACAACTGAGTTGCGAGACTTGGTTTTTTTGACAAGTATTGTTTTTGATGGGATAGACATTTACAGGGCAGGTATGTATCCTAGACTGCATCTCACTTAACATCAGGTGTGATTGCAGTCAAAAATCTGCCTTGTTCTGCATAAAAATGTAACAAAGAATTTCAACAATAATAATAAAGTAAAAAAATATGCGTTGGCCTATAAAATTCAAAATTGCTTGTGGACCTAAAGACAAGGAAATAAGACATAATGTCGTATAAGCTGAGTTTTGACTGGAACTAATGCATCACTCAATAGATAAGAACAATAACACGCGTATGAAATAATACAGTAAACAGACCATAGTTCGAATGGCATATCAAGATACACATGGGCTCTTATTCCGTTGTAATGAATGCCAATTTAGAGCAAACATATAGTATTATTTGCTGTCTGTTGTACTGTAACCCTATTCCAGATGTTGATATTTTACGTTACTGACACACATTTAAAAGATAACTGGTTTATCTACTAAACAATATGAATCATCGTGAGACAGAAGTTCAGTGTTTTTAGGATTACGGACTTATTTTAGTGTCTCATTTAGGTTAGTCTTTTTATCAATTTTGGTTGATGATTTTTCTTTAAGCTGGGTCCAGACAGGTGTAACGCGTAATGGAATGTGTCGTGTAATGTAATGGAAATAGTAACGGCAGCGGTATCCTTCCGTTTGGCCAAATTACTTTTCGCCAAATTTCACTTCGCAAACAACTTATCGCCAAACTTTCATTTCCCAAATGAACTTTTAGCAAATGTACTTTTCGCAACTAATTCATTTGTTCAAATTATCATTTGGCAAAATTTTACTTGGCAAATGTTTATATAGCAAATGTTTTACTATGCCAAATATTATATCCCAAATAATTTATTTGGTCAAATTGACACTTCACATGCTTACTCACCGTTACCCACAAATCAAAGCATAAGGCAGATGATCATGGTTTTCACAATAATTTTATGTAAAACAAAGAGATTGCAGAAAATAGTATGGATGCAGAAAGTAGGTATTGCAGAAAATAGTAGGTTAGGTTAGGTTAGAACAGTGACCCTTAACGCGCGAAGGCGAGCGAAGCGTGCCGCGGCAGCGGCCGCCGAGCGCTAGAATCACCTCTATTGTTAATTAATCATTTGGTTTCGATAAAAATAATGAAATATGAAAATTAATTTAGAACAAATTTTATATTAACTACCCAGTAAACAAAATAGTAACCACAAGCTAATTTGTAGGTATTCCATTCTATGCACCAATCAAACTATTTTGTAAATAGTTTATTGTGAAAAATTTTTGCCAAATGAAACATTTGGCAAAACATACTTTGCCAAACAATAATTTGCTAAACAATAATATGCCAAAAACGACATTTGCGAATTAAAAGTTTGCAATAAGTTGTTTTGCCAAATGAGAATTTGCCAAATGAAAATTTGCGAAACGTTGTTTGCGATGTGATAATTTGGGAAACGTTTTTTGGCCAAACATTAGTAATCCAACGGCAGCACGTTACATGTAATTTTACTAATACGTAGGGCTGTGGTCAATCTGGTTGTTTTTACATGACCTAGGTAGGATTAATAATACTAACACACACATGCACATATAAATTACATACGCAACACACACTTGAAGAGCACTGTGTTATTTATTTTTTTGTTTTGTGTAATACTTAAATATTAATTTCTACCCACTTGATATGGTTGCCACAGAATACCAGCGTTATACTCTAGGTCTTGACCTAGGGCATAGCACATGCTGAGTGGCTGCCATTTTGGTTCAAATTTAACTACTTAGTAATTATATTGTTGTAAGTAGTCTAAGGATGTTTGGACTACCTAAATAAAAATATTTTTCTTTCTTTCTTTCTAATTCTCGTAGAATTCGTGTTACATTACACGGTGGATTACATTACACTACACATTACACTCGTCTGGACCTGGGTTTAGACCGGTCCTGTGCTGCCCGCATCCAGGCACTTCCCGCGATCTTCAGCAGATCGTCGGTCTACCTAGTTGGAGGCCTGCCCATTCTTAGATTTTGCATAACAATAGAAACTTAAGACATCAGTTGTTTGTTTATTGACTTTAGTTGCAATGGATATGGTTTGCAGGGCAGAGATTTTAATTTGAATGACTTATGCAATTAAAAAACGTTCTTACCTAATATAACAAATATAAACATCCGGTAGATACTAATACTCGTATTTGTCATTAAGTACATTTCTCATTAACTTAAATTTATCACTAACTAGAATTTAAAGAGTATACACATTAAACATTGATAAATAGCTTTATACATTCTATGAATGTTATGTAGTATTGTTGGCTAACAAAAAATTATCTAAATGTTTGAGTGAGTTCTTTTACAGTTAAATATTGTGTAATATTATGTACTTTATCATTAACTCAAATAACATAAATATTTTTAACTAGCTGACCCGGCGAACTCGGTTCCGCCTTAAAGGCAATAAATAAGCAAATCTTTTCTTATTTGCTCACCGTTTAGACCTACCCTGGACTACGACAAACATTTTAACACCAAAATCAGCTCAATCGGCCCAGCCGTTCTCGAGTTTTAATCAGACTAACGAACATCAATTCATTTTTATTTATATAGATTTAAGGTAGTTGAACTGATTCTTTTTATATGCATGCTGTGCTTATGTCGAGTAGGGTAAATCAGTGTGAATTGATTTTACATTAATTACTTACTTTTGCATGATATTTGATTGTACCCAGTTTTAAATAAAAAAAAAAATAACAACTCCTTAATAAACAATAAATCATACCTGAGTCTATTTCCTTCCACTTAGGGTGTGGAGACGATATCCTCTCACTCGTATAGAACGGTGCTGACATGGTTGTGTGATGCAAGGTGAGATAGAAGCTGCATTGGACAGTGCTTCCCTCTGGTGGACGGATGTTGTAACCGACAATCTGAAAATTACAAATTCGGTTTATCATGCGTTCAACCAACCGTGAAAATGTAAGGTCATGTCAAGGTGGAATTTATTAAGTGATTATTATTTGTTTGGAGATGAATGTGTAAAATGTGTACCAAAACCAGACACATTTTATTTAAGGTCAAACAGTTGTAGTTTTTTTAGTTCATTGTTATTCATTTATGCAGAGAGATTCATGCATTAAAAGAGAAGATTATTTAGTTTTGGATAGACTATGTCTATAAGTTTAAAATTTAAATAGACAATAAGTCTGAGAGACGTAGCTTAACCCAGATACTCCTGAAACATTTTATTATCTCCAAAGTTAATGATCTTTGTATATGAGGCTTAAAAACTGACAAATAACATGGGAAAAATAAGAAAAACAATATTTCCCTCGTGGAAATTCGGAAAAGCGGTGTCGTTTATAAACAACAGTAGTAAAATGCACTACTATGAGGTATGCATTGCATAAAGTAAACCATCCTTTATTTTATTTGGCTTTTGTGACAAAACTGAGTAATATTACTTTTGGTATTATCTTTTGTTTCTTTAATTGTAAAAATGCATAACGTAAGATAGGTAACTCGGTATTTCCCTGCATTGCGCACCTTTTTGAGGGATATCGAACTCGAGTCTATGTCTCTTCGAAAGGATGTGCGATGCCAAAAGCAAGAGCGTCCGAGGAAGACCAGATTCTTGACATATCCTTACGAGAATGTCAGGATAAATGCTGAGTGGGGAGCCTATTGGGGGGGTCATTCCACTTTGTTCACCTAGGTGAAGAAAGTGAAATAGAAATATTTATTTGTCTTTTTAGTGTCCTCATTAGGGCTTGCAATATCGGATAGTTTTCAACTCCGGAACTGATTTCCGATATTGGGCACTCAACTCCGGAATTCCGGTTCTAGTTCCGGAGTTGGTTAAAAAAAGTAAGCGCCTCTCGACAAACANGTATTGTTGGCTAACAAAAAAATATCTAAACGATTGAGTGAGTTCTTTTACAGTTAAATATTGTGTAATATTATGTACTTTATCATTAACTCCAATAACATAAATATTCTTAATTTAAGATGGTTAAACTGATTCTTTTTATATGTGTTACAGGAAATGTATGAATTCTAGGAATTNAAAATGTCAAAACAAGATGACGCGTCTACGTCGCGAAAAAAAGGTGTTAATATGGAAAAAAACAATAAGAAAGCATTCTAGAAACAAGGGTTTATCGTATGTTAATACAAAAAATAAAGAAGTGAGTCAAAAAAGGGAGCCAGGTGAGGTATGTGTGACAAATTTTTTAAATCATTGTTAAAAAATGTAAGCATAGTTTTATCTAAAATATATTACATAAATTTACATTACTTTACCCTTGTTATTATACACATATATTATTTAGTAATAAAATGGTGATAAAAACATTTTATTCGAATTGTAAAATTATTTACTTTGTTGTAGGTTTCTTGCAAATTCTCGTGTACCTGTTTAACATTAGAATGCCGTAAAAAAATATTTCATGAATTCTGGAATCTAGGAGATTATAACGAGTAGCAGATTTACGGAAATTACTCATAAATTTCCTGTAAAAGGTCACACATTTCTCGCATGCGATCGTGATTTTGCGATCATTGAAAAAGCGAAAAAGCGTGCAAAGCCATTGATTCCAAAAGACCTTATTGAAATTATTACAAATGCTTGCAAAAAAAAATCCATGCGTGGTAGTGGATAATAAAACCTTTTTTGGTTGGATGAATCTAGCTAAAAATATGATTAATACCAAAAAGCTACAGATATCTTCGGCAAGGATGATTTTGGTGTCATTTTTACAAAGGAAAGCTATGGAGAATTTGCACCTTGGATATCGACTCCAGTGCTTAAGCCTGGAATTACTAAGGCGAGTTTTGAGAAACTACGAGTTGACATGATCGAGACACCTGTATCTTTATCTGCCGAGAAAAAGAAATACATTAGTGCCATGTTGCCGTATTTAGCCGGAGACAGCAAATTGTTTTATGAAAACATTTTAAAATAAAGATATTTAAAGTTGAGTAATGTGCAAGTACTAAAACACTTACAACGTTATGACTTGCATAAATAATGGCACTTAAAACGTTTTGTTCTTTTATTTTTTTTCAGAATTTAATTAATATTATTTCCTTGTTTTGAAAGAATACAAAAGTTGTGTTAAATTATGAGTAATAAATGATAATTCGATAATACATTCTTTTTTTATGGAAATGCTTTTTCTTTTTCCAAAAAAAATGTTTTTTGTATCTCCTGAAAATTTAACTTTCTGGCACTTGAAACGTTATGGTTTGGCACCCCTCACTTATCTTGAAAAACTCATCGTTGAAAATGGCTAAATAAACTTGTAAATATTAATTATAACCTAATGAATTATTAACATTTGCCACATAGACTAAGTCGACAAAGCCTTCCCCTGTCAAGTAACATAAATAAATAAAAACAGAAGTACCTACATATTCTCCAATATTTTTTGTTTCTACGTGTTGTTTTAAAACGACGGTAGTATAAAGTGGGTTGATGTAGGCAGTACGCACAACCCTAAAGTTTTTTACAGGTTTACTCTAAAAAGTTTTCTCTAAGGCACACTACACCACTGATAAGTCTTATTTTATTAAACAGTCATGAGAAATAGGGACTGTACTCAGTACTTATAAACCATGTTTACTTTAAATGCTTACATCATTTTAGTTGTAGGAAGTAGATGATAACAATCAATACACAACTGTCTGTGGGACCAGTGTGAATTCTTATCATTTGTCCATAGTGACGTGTTGATTTTTCAGGCATAGGATGCACAAAGGTGTCAGGAATCGGGATGTTTCTAGAGATCTAGATAGCAGAGGAGGCGAAGAAAATCGGCAAGACTTGGAGCGAACGAGATAGAGGACTGTTGTGGACGTCCTTTGCCCCATCTAGGGGACATAGGACCTTCAGTCAAGTAGAAATCTACATGAGAATGTTGATAGACGAAGACTGCCGAAATGAATTAGGTTTGTACTATTCTCTACTCTTTTTAGAAATGAGGTGTGATATTAATTTCAGTTTTCGGTGAACTCACACTTATCTTGACTGCAATAAAGATTGAAGCTGATTACTTAGGAATTGTTACTAACTCTTTGACATCAACAAAATAGCTGCTCAACTTTATTTATTAGTAACTTTCACTTCGTAAAATCAAAGAATTGTTTTTTTGATAATAAAATTAACAGACAATAATAATAAACTTCAAAAATAAATTAAATAAATAAATAAGTACCTATTTTTTATACTGAAATAGAAAACAGAAAAATATGTTGTAGTAAATATGTAACTGTTACATTATGTATTATCTTGTATCTTTAATTTTACAGGTCTGTGTGACCTATCAGTATAAACTTATATTTTAAATATAAGTATCGACACAGTAACAGTAATGCCACAGGCATAAAGGTAGTAAAGAATGATACAACAAATGCCTATAGACGTAATAGTTTTTACTCGTTTTACATTGACACTACGCCCATAGGCAATGTATGTGAATAAGTAGTGTCATTTGGGTAGTAATTGTACTGTCCACCAAAGTGTTAACTACACCACACATGTTTGTGAACTACACAGTAAGAATGTAACTGTAAAATACACATAGAATGATGATCGCTGACAACTTGCTATCTGTAGATTAGGCAAAAAATGTGAACTTGACCAATTCCCATGGAATTTTAAGTTTAGCCAATGCTGTTAAATCTTTCCACACTGGACACTAATCCAGGAATTTTATAGCAAGTTTCTATTTTTATAAATAGTGACTAAATGCATTTGTTATCATCAGATGGTTCAATTCTATGTCAACCAATCGTGCACATTCCATGGGACAATCCGAACGAGTTCGGGAAGCATCACGTCATTTTTATTATGACATCCAACCCACACATTTCTGGAGGATGTAGGCGTATGTTAGTAAACCAAAAGTCCTCGGAATTTTTCTACATTACTAAGTTACCTGAATAAGGCTCCTCAAACGAAGTTGCTGCGTTGCAAGAGGCGTCCATTCCCTACACCTCGGTCTACCAAACATCGCTCAAATTCTACAAATCTAACACCAAAAAAAAACTAAACATCCAAACAATGGAATTCTCTTCGCGTACGGTATTTACGACGTTAAACGTGATTCTACATTGAAGTGCTCGCGTAACTGATACTCAGTTATTAACGCACCCTTCCACAACAAATAAAACTGCAATTTTGTTTGAGATTAATAAAAGTAATTAACACTTTTCTGCCTTTTCAGCTGACTCAAACGTCAAATCAAGTCAATCAAGACAAGATCAACGCTAAATCCAGTTGCCAGATTAAAACTTTAAAAACTACTATTTTCTAGTGCAAGTGCAAGCTGTGTGCAAGATAACTTGTAAAAATTCGACAGAATTTGAATCTAAATGAAATTAAAGTGTTGTATGGGTGCAGTTCCTGTATGCAAATATTAAGTCGTCCAGTGTGGTGTGTGAGGAATATACAACCCGGTCGAGTCAACCTGGGCCCCTTTTGCGCTAAAAAAAATTATCTTCAACGCGCCCGGACGACGAACGAATATCAGTTGTTTTGACAAATCCGTATCGCGGTGTCGTTTTGGCAGCTAGTTGAAACGAAGCATAGACGTAATTATCTCATGTAAAAATGAAAATACTAGGAAGGTACGTCCTCTCGCTGCGTGACCGTACGTAAATCTACTAAAATTTGTTTTTTTTTTAGCTAGCAACATTTTCTTTTATTTTTAAAAATTGTAACGGACAAAGAAATCTAATCACATTAATTTGGATTCCTAATTTTTATATTCAGCCAAGAAGTGATGTCTACGGCTGGACATAGGGCCACCCAAAGTCCAACCCTGCTCACATCCAGGTTCTACCCACAACCTTCACCGATCGTCGGTCCACCTACTTAGTGGGAATAGTGGGATGCCTTCCCACACAACTTCCGGCCCGTGATCGCCACTCATGAATCTTTCTGCCCCAATCTCTATTAGCTCTACAAGCTATGTTAGTCTTTGAAAATAAAAAAAAATATATTTATTAACCAACATTTTGTAGAACGCTCATGAGTAAGCAACATTGCTCTTAAAGAATTTTCAGGCGTTACATTAAAATTAACTTTGATTTAAAGAAAACAAGCGATTAATTTATAATATTTCCACAATAATAATGAAAAGGTATATCTTAATATTTCCATAAGTGCATTATTTTGTACTGTTTCTTTTTCCAATATAACATTTTGAATCGTTAGGTATATTGGAAAATGCTCTCTACGAACGTCAACCGAACTTAATGTGATTTATCAATCAAAACTAATAAAAAACAAACCAATTAACTTTTGGTCACACTCGGTTTATTTCTTAATCCAGCAGCAGTCTAGAAAGATGGAGTTAACGTGTACTTTAATATCTATTATGAGTTTTCTTATGATTTTACCAAGGGTAAGTACGAATACCTCGATAATAACACCGTTTTCTACAGGACTCTTATCTTTTTAAATACTTAGAGGTTGGCTTTTTTGTGAGGACCTTAAAATACAAGCGAGCTCAAGTAAAATGGGGTTGTTAATTAGTAAAAGATATTAATTTTCATGATGTCATTTAATAAGTTTACAGAACGTTTTTTCAGCCCTGCATGTCCTATTTTTCTAGCGGGGAAGGTAGTGCTTCCGATGAATTCAAATATAAGCTCCAGAAATTACGGAACGTGAAACCCGTAAGAACATTTTATTCTTATGTCTTACCTACAAACTAGCTTGTCATTTTGCAAAAGGACTATTATCGGTGTCGTCTATTATTCTTTATTCTACCCCTACTTACTCACCTCAGGGGAAGCACCTGAATGCGGGCAGCGCAGGTCCAGTCGTAGTAGACATCCTTGGAGGAGGCCTTTGTCCAGCTGTCTACGTCGTCCTCTGATTGAAACAAACCCCTACTACTTATTTACTACACTTAATCAAAGCATGTAGTGCAGATTCTGCTGAATCATATCGATAGACTTTTTAATGGGACTACTACTAATACCACAGAATAATAATAAGTACTCTAATACTTTATACTATACTATTCCCACCACTACAACTCCCTTAAAGCCAGAATCTACAGCTTGACCGCCAATAAAAACCCAACTAGTGAAGGTCAAAGTTTGTCTCTGGGGAAAGTTAAGCTGTCATTGGACCCGAAACGAACTTGATTAGAAGAGCATAGGAGTTCGAAGTTAGCTTCGACTTGCTCCAGTGAGATATCCATAGACTTAAAAGGCTCAAAGACTTTTTACGTGACCATTTTAGGAGAAACACGACGTACAATATGGACCAGAGAAGAATGCAGGAGACCCTGCCGATGTGTTTGCCTCCAACCCGCACTACAGATATCCTGAATATTACACCGACTTCAGCAGGAGATTTGTCCCCGTATATCCTTATACGGAAGTGAGTAACACCCTTTTACAACCTGATAGTGCTAACTGCGCACCTCGCTGGAATTAGTGTTGCCGATCGAAANAAATATATTCGTCTAATAGGTGTAAGTGCCAAGGTTAAGTACCTGCTTCATTAAAGTTTGAAATTCATCTTAGTTGCGTGTACTATTAATGTAATAACGATTGTAGGTACCTGCCTGTGCAATAAAATGAACGGTAAATAGTTATTAATTTAAATTTATTATAGACGTGTAATGTTAATGTAATGGTGTGAGTAGGTATTATTTTGACGACTTACGAGTAACGTACGCTTAGGGTTAGTGTTGGGCTTCTGGGTTTGGTTGTACACATAATTAATAGTAAACGCGATTAATCCGGTAAAATAAATTGTTTTAATTAATGAATAATTTTATTGTTTTAGGTAAAAAATGTCACAAAAGGAAAGTCATCCGATTTGGCAATTTTTTAAGAAATCTACAGCTGACGTTTCAAAAGCTGTGTAACAGGTCGTTTTCACTTGGTAGCCATGAGCCTAAAAAACAAACCTTGCATGGTCTAAAACAACATTTATCAAAACAGCACGAAGTCGAGCATAGGTAGGTTTTAAAACGACAGTCCGAATTGAACGAAGTAAAAAACGAAGCCAAATTAAAGAAACAAGAACAAAAAATTCCACAAGCATATGCATCGACCTCTAGTTGTGATAATCAAAACCTTGTTCAAAGCACGATTCCAGGTTTAATTTCTAGACCTAAACTGACTCAATGGCCAGATGATCATGAAATTTCTAAAAGGATAGATAAAGCCATAATGGATTTGATAATTGTAGACATGCTTCCATATACGTTGGTTGAAGGTGAAGCATTCCGGCGACTAAATTTTACTGACCCGCACGCTGTTCATAAGTATAGATCAAAATCCGAAAAGTATTTCAGAACATCTTTGATGCCGAAAACGTACGAAAAAATGAAGCTTAAAGTAAATGAATTAGTTGCAAAATGTACTTGGCTTAGTGCTACCACAGATATTTGGAGCAACGAGAGTAAAACCTGTTCACTGCTGAGTTTCACAGCCCATTTTATTCTCGAAGAAAAGCGTCTGAAAGTTATTTTAGGTGCATGTGTGCTAGAACAGAGTCATACGGGTGAATATATTGAACAAAAATTTTCGGAAATGGTTACAAAATGGAACCTGTAAGGAAAAATATTTCTGGTGTTGCGTGACAATGCACCTAATATGAATAGCGCTATGCGTAATAATTACCAATCGATTGGATGTGTATCGCACAGTCTGCAGCTAGTTATTAACAATTCGCTTTTTATTGATGCCTTAGTCAAAAAGACTCCACAGAAGTGTCGAAAGATTGTAGGCCACTTTCACCATAGTGAGCCAGCTACCAAAAAATTGTCTGAATGTCAACATCAATGTGGAACCCCGAAACATGTTTTGGTGCAGGATATCGAGGTAAGATGGATGATGTTAGAGAGGCTGCTAGAGCAAAAAAGTGCAGTGAACTTGTATAGTGTAGAACATGGCAAGATTGAGACGCTAACTTCTGACGAATGGGACCTCATAAAACACCTAACGAATGTGCTGAAATTCTTTTACGAAGCGACACTTGAACTATCATTCGACAACGCCTGCATCTCAATAGTAATCCCTCTGATATCGCTGCTTAATCGAAAATTACAAACACAATCAGAAAATGAAGCAGAAGCGTGCATAAATATGAAGCATGCTCTCCTAGAATCTCTATATAATAGATTTTCTTTTGTGAAAGGACATCCCTTACTAATGGCTGCAACTTTACTTGACCCAAGGTTTAAATCCAAATATATATCCACAGACGAAGTTAACATTGCCACAAATGAGATCGTTAATTTTCTGGTAAGGTACAGCAAAAATACTCACAGTGAGCAAGAGAACGACATAAATGCGACATTGTTCTCTGAAAGTCAAAATATCCATAGCCAAATATAGTCTTTGGGATACACACGACCAGTCAAATATCGAGCAGATGCACACCGATGAAAATCTTGACCCAACAGCGACACTCAGACAGACTCTACAATGTTACCTATCAGAACCCTTATTACAGCGTAATGCTGATATTTACTCCTATTGGAACTCCAGCCCATATCCTTTATTACGAAATGCTGTTCTAAAATACCTGTCAGCACCACCGACAAGTGTACCTAGCGAGCAGTTGTTTAGCGCTGCTGGACAAATATATGCTGATAGGCGAAGTAATCTGCTTGGAGAAAATGCGGAAAAACTATTGTTCTTGGCATATAATACACCGTGTTACTTTGTATTCTTGCCATATTCACAGAGATAAAAGTAGGGAACAATACCTATTATTTAAGATAAACAAGAGACTCCCATAAAGAAAGTACACTAAGATTTTAGTAAATTTGGTTTTGGAATAAACCAATTTTGTCTCGCACGTTCTACAGGTGCAAGTGGAATAAACCTAGTGGGCGTGGCCTAGTTCTTAATTTTATAGCTTTGGGTACCAGCCTTTTTATCCAGTCATAATAACTATTTTAAAATACTCTTCAGTTGATTTCAGATTTTCCTTTCTACTTTACGGGCTTAGGACCGTCAATTAAATTACAACATTGTACCCTATTTTTACAAATTAATAAATTAAGTATGAAATGAAATCACCTCATTCACAATTAATTATTTATTCATAAGTTCCTACTTACAAAGTTTACGTACTGCGAAGCAAGTGTTCAAAGTGTCCTCCGTTCTCATGAAGGCACAGTCTAGGACGGCGAAGCGTAGGTTTTTCGCTTTAGTTTTCGCAACACATAAACGTTTTGTATCACAGTTTCACTAAAACAATCCTTTCATGTAACGCGTTTACACTGGGACCTAATATTTTGAGATGTGCATTTATTGAATGCCTTGTATTCTAGAATACTATTTATGTGATGATTTACCATTTTTGGAATATTATCATATCTGTCTTTAATCAATTTTAATGCCTCCTGATAATTGTCACCATTTAAAGTCAGGTTTTTGACAATATCCAAAGCCTCTCCCATTAAATATGAGCGTAAGTAGTATAATTTTTCGCATGGGGTCAAACTTTGGTTACTGTCAATCACCGATGTGAACATGTTAATAAAAGGATAGTAATCCACAATGTTGGAGCCATTAAAAGGTTTAATATTTATTGGTGGAAGACGACTGTACTCACCTTTTTCTCTTTGTATACCATTATTTTGGCGGTTTAGTCTGGCGTCCAACAACTCCATGCACTCGTAATATACATCCTCAACCTTGCCGACGTCCTCGCTGTCATCGGCATTGGTATACAGGATACTTTTGTTTATTAATTCATATTCTTTAAACAGATTAATTAAACGTTCTCTTTTTAAGCGGAGAGCGTCGACACTTGCGGATTCGAAAGAATCCGAAAAACAAAAGTGTTTTAGGCGTGTGATTCCTGCCTTCACGTACCCCCTTCCTAATGTCTTTTCGGCCATGGCTTGGAAATTGAACCACGACTTTATTTACTAAAATTTTATCCAAAATCCCGAAAAGACAAATTTCTAACGACAAGTTAAAATGAAACGAACGAATGAAAGACAGTTGACAGATCGATGGCTCCTACGTATACTGGCGTAAGTGAAAAAAGTNGCGAGCAACAATACTATCGATAGTATCGATAGTATTGCACATATTCAATAGTATTGCCTCGTTTTGTGCTATCGATAGTATCGATAGTATCGATACTATACATATATAGGCCTATCGATGGAGAAGGCTTTTTTGAATGAAAACTATCGATAGTTCGGCAACACTAGCTGGAATGCGACTCTCCCTGGCACTTCTCATTCGCCCTGTTCTACCAAAGCATCGATGTGACGTCACGGCTACCAGGTGCGCAGCTAGCTTGATCTGGTTGTATTAAAGTAAATTAATCTGGATTATTTTTTACTTATTGTGACCTGGCTCGGTGGATCATGTATGAAAAAAGCAACTGAAACACCCTATAATTATTATTATTTCCCTTGTGTATTTTATTCTGTGGTGATGTTTATCATGTTACTGATGTTTTTGTTACAGAAAAAGCCTTCGAAAACTAACGGGGAATCTCAGGTCAGTACTTAATTTAAGCGTAAGAAGTCACTTAGGTTCATTTATTTGGGCGATCTAACAAGTATGTCTGAAAAATAATTTATTCTTATTCACTTCCACAGGAAAATAGGAATCGGGAAATAATTCCAATAAAAGTAAGAACTAATATCTAGCCTAGTCCCTACCAACTTGCTATTTTGTAAATGGTGCGCTAACCAATGAAACATGTCATTGTCTAGTTACCTAGTTACTTGCGTTCATCATCATTAACCACATACCTCCATAAACCTTCAAATTAATTCATAGTTGATCACAGTTCTGAACATCGGACTTGTCACTGCATCAAGTCCGTTGTGGTAATTTTTTTCAATATTTTCAGTCATCTCCCGAAAAAGTGATCCAAGTGGCGATGCAGTCAGCTTTAGAGGCTGCCTTAAACCCACCCAATGACACTGAGTCAGTCAAGAAAGAGGACATGCTGAGGAGCGGTGTATGTATCTTAATTACTACTAATATTATAAATACTAAAGTAACTCTATCTATCTGTTACTTTCACGCCTAAACCGCTGAAATGATTTTGATGGAGTTTGGTATTAGAGATGTTAGTGTCCCGGGAAAGGACATAATAATATGATAGTTTTTTTAATCCCGGTTTTTGAAACCGGCAAGCGCGCTTCTCGTGGGCCAAAGCTTATTAGGCTACTATAAAATAGAAATGAAACTTAAAAGTAGCAGTAGGGGGTGATAATTATGGAAGACATGCCTATTACTTACGTGGCAGCAGCAGAACTTACGCCCGTATTCACAAACAAACATTACTTTGAGGTCTCACAGTGCGCGTGGACGCACAGAGCATCGTTTGTGAATACGGGCGTTTGATAGATGTTGATCTACCTATTTTTTCAGGATTATTGGAATTCAGTGTGGGTTGAAGAAGTAAATCCCAAAAATGTGTTGAGAACATACCAAAATAAACATTCGGTATGTAATTTTATTAAATGCTTCTCTAAGATGTTTTTATGTCATTGATGCTTCTATCAAATACATTCACTTAAAAGTCATCATCAAAGGATGTATGTACCTACTTGCATCGAATACATAATTATTATTTCTGTTACAGAACCAGGATAAGAAATACAGATCTTCTGTTCCAAAGCTGGTGAGATACTAGAGATTTGATGTTTTACTAATTTGTTCGAAGTAATAGAAGTTTCAAATATGAATTAATATTTTTAGGGATCCGTACGAGCGAAAATAATGCCGGGTTCCAAACTTTACCAGCTAGTGTCAGTTCTGCGGCAGTTCTCGCCGCGGTTACTCTACGTGATCAATACTAACAAATAAATACGTTATTAAATATTTTGTTCTTTTATTCCATAACCCATTTAAGTTTTCAATAACCTCGACAAGGGTTTCCTGCCTTGCGTGCCCAAACAACTGCACGCAGGAAGATTTAATAAAGGCTACTGCAATGATATTAAAGGACTATAGATATGTTACGTTTAGAGATGAAACGGATATCCGGCAACTATCCGGTAGGCCGGATATCCGGCCTAAATTTACTATCCGGCCGGATACCGGATAGTAACTCACTATCCGGCCGGATACCGGATATTAAAAAACTACAACAATTTCCTATTAATGAAATGAAATACTTTAATCTTAGAGGTAAACATCAATAAAATGGCTTACAATAATGACGGCTTTTATTTAAAGTCCAAAAAGTTACAAAAAGCCATAATATTAAGGCCTTTAAAAAAAGTAATTTCTTTTTCTGGGCTATTCACTCTAATGACGAATACATAAATAGTAAATATACAGGGTGGCCAAAACAGTGAGGCCTAAAAGAAAAATTTAGATTCCTTACATCAAGGTGTATCTAAATCACCCCCATGTGTATAATACGATTTTGCTTAGTTTAGGAGATAGAGTTAATTTTGTGATATTTTAAAATTCTATGACCTAGTAGGCTTTAAAAAAAATTATCTTATTTTTGGGTTGATTTTTCTCAGATTTCTTTTTTTTTTGACAGATTCGTTATTAATTGCAGATATTTGAAAAAAATAATCACCTTCCTATCTTTGATGCAAGATACAAAAGTTTTGCTAGAAACATTAAAATTATGCTTTTAGCAGAACACTTAAAAGTTTAAGTAAAAAAAATATTATTCGGAAATAATAGGATTCCCAATATTAATTCACTCTAAGAAAGTCAAATACATGTAACGGAATCTCCGACTTACTACTTTAGTGGAGCGATTACAGGAAATAGTGGCCCATTAAGTACATGTTTTTTTGTATTATTATGAATGTTCAGGAAACGGCGCAGTTTTTGAAATGGTTTTGGACCTATGGAAGTAATTTTTTTTACTTAAGTTGAAAGTTTGACAGTGTTCTGCTAGAAGCATAATTTTAATGTTTCTAGCAAAACTTTTGTATCTTGCATGAAAGATAGGAAGGTGATTATTTTTTCAAATATCTGCAATTAATAACAAACTGTAAAAAAAAGAAATCTGAGAAAAATCAACCCAAAATAAAGATATTTTTTTAAAATAGAATTTTAAAATATCACAAAATTAACTCTATCTTCTAAACTAAGCAAAATCGTATTATACACATGGAGGTGATTTAGATACACCTTGATGTAAGGAATCTAAATTTATCTTTTAGACCTCACTGTTTTGGCCACCCTGTATGTTAAGTAAAAATATTGCCAAATAAAATAGGCGATCATTTTTCACTGATGGTCTGATGTCATGATGATGCAGTTCGTTCAGATTACGCAGCAAGTAAACGAATCACACACTCACGAAGGCAACCGAAATCGCCCGAATTTATCTGCCCCCTAGACAAGTGGCAAAATCTGACATTCTATTCGGACTGATTCGATTTTCGAAAAGTGTGACTAGTCTAGTCTACTAATAGACCCGCTGATCGCGTTCGAAGCACCTGTGCGGCGCTAAACTCGTCACGACATGCAACGAGACAATGGGCCAACTATCCGGCCGCCGGATATCCGGCTATCCGGCCTAGCAGCTGGCCGGATATCCGGTATCCGGTATCCGGCCAAACTACTATCCGTTTCATCTCTAGTTACGTTCATAGAAATTACGATTNGTGCCAGGGTTTTTATGTTCCTGGTCAGGCTATACTGATGTTTTTGTTACAGAAAAAGCCTTCAAAAACTAACGGGGAATCTCAGGTCAGTACCTACTTAAGCGTAAGTAGTTAGGTACTTAGATTCATTTATTTGGGCGATCTAACAAGTATGTCTGAAAAATAATTTAATTCTTATTCACTTCCACAGGAAAATAGGAATCGTGAAATAATTCCAATAAAAGTAAGAACTAATATCTAGCCTAATGGTGCGCTAACCAATGAAACATGTCATTTTCTAGTTACCTACTTGCGTTCATCATCATTAACCACAGACCTCCCATATAAACCTTCACATTAATTCATAGCTAGTTGATCACAGTTCTTATCATCGGTCTTGTCACTTCATCAAGTCCGTGGTGGTAATTTAATTTTAATGTGGTATTTCAATATTTTCAGTCATCTCCCGAAAAAGTGATCCAAGTGGCGATGCAGTCAGCTTTAGAGGCTGCCTTAAACCCACCCAATGACACTGAGTCAGTCAAGAAAGAGGACATGCTGAGGAGCGGTGTATGTATCTTAATTAAGTACTACCATTATTAAGTACACTTACGAATATTATAAATACTAAAGTAACTCTATCTATTTATTTATTTATATAAGGCACAGCTACAGAGAACAAACAATAACAATACAATTAACACAACAACATAGCACAATATTAAGTCTGAACTCCGATTACCTATCCTATCCTATCTATCCTATCTGTTACTTTCACGCCTAAACCGCTGAAATGATTTTGATGGAGTTTGGTATTAGAGATGTTAGTGTCCCGGGAAAGGACATAATAATATGATAGTTTTTTTAATCCCGGTTTTTGAAACCGGCAAGCGCGCTTCTCGCGGGCCAAAGCTTATTAGGCTACTATAAAATAGAAATGAAACTTAAAAGTAGCAGTAGGGGGTCATATTATGGAAGACATGCCTATTACTTACGTGGCAGCAGCAGAACTTACGCCCGTATTCACAAACAAACATTACTTTGAGGTCTCACAGTGCGCGTGGACGCACAGAACATCGTTTGTGAATACGGGCGTTTGATAGATGTTGATCTACCTAATTTTTTCAGGATTATTGGAATTCAGTGTGGGTTGAAGAAGTTGATCCCAAAAATGTGTTGAGAACATACCAAAATAAGCATTCGGTATGTAATTTTATTAAATGCTTCTATCAAGTCATCCATCAAAGGATGTATGTAAGTAGTACCTACTTGCATCGAATACATAATTATTATTTCTATGTTACAGAACCAGGATAAGAAATACAGATCTTCTGTTCCAAAGCTGGTGAGATACTAGAGATCAGATTTGATGTTTTACTAATTTGTTCCAAGTAATAGAAGTTTCAAATATGAATTAATATTTTTAGGGATCCGTACGAGCGAAAATAATGCCGGGTTCCAAGCTCTACCAGCTAGTGTCAGTTCTGCGGCAGTTCTCCCCGCGGTTACTCTACGTGATCAATACTAATAAATGAATATTTTAATAAATATTTTGTTCTTTTATTCTATAACCTAATTTAAGTTTTTAACAATCACCTCGACAAGGGTTTCCTAATGGCGCCACTGGCAAATAAGGTCCTGTCCTTAAGGGGGTAGTGTGAGTTTACGTTACGTCAAACGCCATGGATGTCGACTGCGTAACAAAGTGATACTAAATGTATGACGGTCTGTACAGCGCCCCTAGCGGAAATTTTCATACATTATTTTCAATTAGTCTGAAGTAGGTACACACGGCCACACTGTTCCATTTCCGTTTTTGCTCTCGCTCTCATCATGGTGATTCTTTGCGATAGAACGAGACGACATAACAGGCAATGGATAGTTAACACTGTTGCCGATGGTACATCTAACCCATTAGTCCGTTAGCGCTGCGTCGGTCGCGTCATCCTACTATATAATATTATAAATGCGAAAGTTTGGATGTCATGATGTCTGGATGTTTGGATGTCTGGATGTTTGTTACTCCTTCACGCAAAAACTTCTGAACGGATTTTGTTGAAACTTTACAGTATTACGGTTTATAACCCAGATTAACATATAGGCTATAATTTATGACGATCTGTGACATACCAAATTTCACGCGCGTGAAACCGCGCGCAAAAGCTAGTAAAAAATATATGGAAGACGTCGCTGCGTGCCAGTGACGTAATAAGGCCTCACCCTAAGAGTAGGCGCACACCGTTGATTTTTCGTCGGCCGATAGTTTAGTCGGGCAGTTGATCAGTATGGGCATGTATGGGAGTGCGCACACTACGCCGATTCGATTTGGCCGATTCTTCATACAAATTAAAATCGGGCACAACTATCGGCCAACTAAAAATCAACGGTGTGCGCCTACTCTAAGAAGAAGTCTCTGACGTTTGACGTCACAAAAACTCTCCCATACCTCAGGCACCAAGTTAAGCGCTAGACCTATAGTAGTGTCTAATATCTAATCCACATTTGCCTCTGGTTAATTAGGCTGGTTTTAGAATCACGCTGACGCACGCTGAACCGTCAGCGCCGACAGCCGAAATGTATGAAGCGTCGGCGCCGAGCGATCAGCGTCACTCAGGAACGTTCTTTTTAATTACATACATTTTGATTTGTCAGCGCCGACGATCAGCGAGCGGTCAGCGCGATTCTAAAACCAGCCTTAGAGAAGGCCATGCTTCTGTAGTGGAGTTTCAAATAATGATGATGACGATGGACGAATCAAAATAAAAATTAATTAAATAGAAAAATATTTAGTTACATTTAATCAATTGAACGTCTATGTCCGTCGCATAAGATTTAAAATCAACTGATGAATCTCCCAAAAACTTTTAACTATTATTCTCTATGAATTTCCATTTGTAAGTCTTCGAAACGGGTCTAATTTTTGTGTCCGTCATTAAAGGGGTCTCTGATAGTGTTTATCACAAGATTATTCGTATCATACTGCTTCCAAATATCTCCAGGCTCCTTAGCCTTCCTTTTCCTCATCTCTATATAGCAATCGAGAACTTCTTTCTTCTCTTTCTCACGTCCAGGCAATTCTAGCCACTCTATCATATTCCTTAAGGGCCCTTTCACGCTGCGCTGCTCTTTAATCCTTTTCATTTCCTTGTAAAAATACAGGGTGGTCATCATATGATCCTTCATGAATTCGTTGATTTCCTTCATTCTTTGTTTGTGCTGTTTTCTGACCAATGCCGCTTTTTTCCGTTCTTGTTTGTCTTCCTCTATGGCGTTCAAGGTTCGGGCAATGTTGCGCATTTTGTAGTCGTATTTTCTGTAGTTGCTGGAGTCTACTATGATTATGATCTTGGGGTTTCTCTCACGTCTCATGGATAGACCATAAGATGGCTCGCGGAATTTGCCCGTCACACTGGATAGCAGAATTGTTGTCTGTAAGATCAAATAAAACTACGAGGTTATTTACATCTTTATTTTTAAATACACGATAGCCGAACGGTGAAGGGGTCGGACTGGCCGACTCGTCATCCGATGAACGCGGGTTCGATCTCCGCTCACCCTCGACTATTGTGGTGAGCCCACTCGTACGGTACTATTAGTAGTTTTTGCAAAAACCAAGTGCTAATATTCTTTAAAAAAACCCTGATCTGACGATGATTTATTTTCAGCCAACTGTAGATTATGAGAGCGCTAAATACGCCATTACACTACGCAGCGAGCATTTTCATAAGAATTTTGCGACGGGGATGTATTTTAAAGTAACTGCAACGAATTGTGAGCTATTTTATCGCACAATGTGCGTCGTAACATATACATACATATAATATGTACATTTCAAATAAACAAACTTTTTATAGCAAGATATTTTAATAAATACAACGGACCTACTAAAACTAAATAGCCCAATGGTGAAGGTGTCCAACAGTACAACTGGCCGATTCTAGATAAGATAATACACCTTTTTTCCATACGAGTTAAAGTAATTTGGTTTGAATATAATGTTAACAATGTTAAGTGTGTCAAACTCACCATAATAACATTCCTAAGTAAAAACATTAAATTCATTTTAATTTAATTCCTCATACCGAACGGATACGGTCTTCAAGCTTGTTAAATACAATAACGATTGGATTGTAAAATTGACTTTTTATGGCGTAGATAAAATAAGGTAAGTGTATGACGTAAAGGAAATATTATGAGAATATTGACGACATGGCTTTGCTTGGCAGTTTTTGGATTGATAATAATTTATTTATTAAGATAACTTGTCCCAAAATTGTTTAAATATTATGAAAAAAGAAGAAAAAACATTAAATTTAGTACCAGAAATAAAAGAATACTTTTAAAAGTTATAAATATGATTTTTAATTCCTATTTAATACAAATTTTTTCATGATGTTAGTAGAGATATTTAATTTTGTTAGCTGACATGTTTTAATTAAACAATAATGTTATCCTTTAGTTGCTCAAATAATGTATTTTAAAAAGTACACCCTGTATGTAACTTACTTACAAATTCAAAAACATTGTACATTCATAAATGTATAGTCATTCAGTAATACACTTTACTAGTCAAATAATGATATTTCTCTGTATTTTGACTAACAATGTTTTATTTATTTAATAAATTATTGGTTATCGTTACGCTTTTCAATCAGGTATTTGAGTTTACAAAATTATTAGCTTCGTTGATTTTGATGAAGAAAATGCGTGACTTTTATGAATTTACGTAATATTTTATGTAAGAAGGCTTAGGCCTTTTAGTGTTTTTCCACTGTAATATTTTCCATCGATGCATATTTTTATGGTCAGCTATATCTTCTATAATTTATTATAGCTGATTTAAAAAACAAAGCAAAAATGAAAAATAAATATACATTTAAATGGAATATTTCTCGTTATTCTGTAGTTGTTCATGAACTCTAATTTCATGTACTTGTTTTTAAAGTTCCAAACCTTGTTGTTATTTATTTCTTGTTATCTTTCTTACAGATTTCAGCGTTACTAAGATCTGAAATACCGCCTCAGTTCAGGTTTATCAACTTCCCGGAATACAGATACGAACTACCTAGGACTAGAGCTCCATCAAGACCTCTGTCATCAATGCCGTATAGGAGGAGACTGTGATTTATACAGGAATAGCGCAAAACTATGATATATCATATACATATGAGTATGTTTTTCCTGTAGTGCAGGCACTCTATTCCATCAAAAGGGTGTTTTTGTAATGATCAATGCAGCAAAACCTGAAAGGTGTATGTGATGCAGTGACAGTTTTGTTATGTTAGAAATAACTCATTGCATTGCACCACTAATGCTGGAACCTATTCAGTTATGCACTATTACTGTATTATTAATTATTAATTTATGGCGTTTGATATAGTAAATAAATAATATCTTTTTTAATGTCTTGAGTAGGCTTTACGTAAATAAAAATAAAATGTGTGTCTTATCAATATTTTTTTTGTTATAATATTTTTCTAATTTGTTATTACAAGTAAAAATAATAACAAAAGTTTCATTTACCATCAGGGTTATCCCCATTCTGTAAATTCAGCACTTTTAAAATCGTCCATTTTCATCCTTTTAAGACTTGGAGGCAGATTTTCACCGTAGCTGTCGAATAAATTGTTGTAAGTCCATGGAAGGGAATGCGTTAAGCCATTGCTGTCGTACAATACTGTGGTATTATTGTCCGGTTCGGATTTAGCCTTTTCATCTTGAAGTTTTTGGTATAGGTCATGGAACGATGGTGGAGGCTTGATTCTGTCCATTTTCTTCTTGCATGCAACTGTAAAAATAAGAATTAAATTATTTGTACAAGTTTTCCAGAATTATTGATTGTTAAGGCTTTTCAAACTTTATTGCAATATTCAAATTCAATATTTAACATAATCTATATATATAAAAGAAAGTCGTGTTAGTTACTCCACTTATAACTCAAGAACGGCTGAACCGATTTAGCTGAAAATTGTCAGGGAGGTAGTTTAGAGCCAGGAGAAGGACATAGGATACTTTTTATCCCGTTCGAAATATAAAAAAAAGTCTGCTTATTTATTGCCATTAAGGCGGAACAAAGTTCGCCGGGTCAGCTAGTAAATTATATTATTAACTATCACAGAAGTAGACTTGTTACATTACATCATCAAGCAAGAAGTGTGGTTCTATCAGAGTAGAATAGCACCATCCTCAGTCTTCCCCTGGATGCTTAGTCACCTTACTAAGGCTGAGTTGCACCACCTTATTTTAACCGTAACATTGACAATAACCGGTGATTTTTATATGGATTTTGACAGATTATTGACATTTTGTCAAAGTTAAAGTAAGATGCAGTGTGGTGACGGCAGAGTAGAATACATTTGTCACCAACCCCTACTCTTCCCACGGGTGTCGCAAGAGGCGACTTAGGGCCTACACATAAAGAGAGAACGGGCGACAGCGCTCTCTGAAAAACATCAATCCTTTAAACTGCGATCTCCAGCCCGCCTGCCACGCGTGGGGATTATGGCAAAACCTTCCACTTTAGTGGAGGAGGCTCATAGTCCAGCAGTGGACTGTAAAGGGCTGTTGATGATGATGAAAGTAAGATGGTGCAACTCAACCTATGTAATAAATATGTGAACATTAGGCCATCTCATCTGACTAGCATAGGGAGTTTAGGCCAAATCCTCCATTTGCCTCTAGAAAATTAGAGAGGATTATACTCCTGCAGTGGCTCCTAAATGACCTGATAATAATGAAAAAACTCATATCTAAATATACACCACTAAATTTTAATCACCGAAAAAAAAAATTCTGGGTAATGAGTTATTGATACTGATCCCATTTGTGCAAAAAAAAGAGTAAAATAAAGTGACTCAAAATATTCTCCTAAAATTGGTAATTTATTGACACACGCGTCGCTAGCACTATTTAAGTACGATAATGTAACACTTATTAATTGGTGTTAACTGGTCTAAGTTAGCTAAGTATGTAATAATAACACTGGAAGCGTGGTCGAGGCGTGAGCGAGACAGACAGATCGATGCAACGTGCGAGCGCGTACGACTACTCTAGCGAGCAGCGGAGTGACCCAGCTGTGACGCGTAAAATACGGACTAATTTAATAAAAAAAATTAACTTCATGAAAACCATTTCTTTTTCTTTTGCTTTCAATATTCCACACGTTTCTACATAACCTGTTAAAATTTTTTCGGTGATAAAAATTTAGTGGTGTATATAATAACTCAAAGGTGACTGACTGGCTGACTGATATAGTGATCTATCAACGCACAGCCAAAACTACTGAACGGTCGGGCTGAAATTTGGCATGCAGGTAGATGTTAAGACGTAGACATCCGCTAAGAAAGGATTTTACGAAACTCCACCCCTAAGGTTGTAAAACGAGATCCACGCGTACGAACTCGCAGCCGGCCGCTAGTTTTATGGTAAAATGGAATAAAAAACTTACCATACTCTCTAAGAGCATCTATTTCTTCCCTGGAATAGTGGGAATATCGGCAGATGCCTCCAAATTTGCATTCCCCATTTTGAAACCTAAGACAGGGCTTCTTGAATGCCTCTTCTGATAATATCATTTCTGGATCTGAAATTTTTATAATTAAATTACAACTTTACCATCTTAGCTTTTCATTTTCAACCTTATTATTATTCTGTCTAATGGCTTCAATGGTGCGAATAATTTGAGAAGAAAATAATTATTCAAAATGTGGTAGCATGAAGCTCGATAAGTCCTTATAAAAGTTATTTTGGGTTTGATTAAGCTATTTTTTGTACATACCATTTGAGTAAGTCTATAGTTGAAGGTACCAGACAATATTGGTTCTTTCTAGATAAACAATTAAATCTAAGATACAAACTATCGTAGCGTTAATAAAACAAGTTCGATGAATAGAAATCAGAGATATTTACCTTTGTATTGGTGGTAGTGTTCCCGCACTAACTTTTGATGTAAAACACCATTATTGTGAGTTCTAACAATTGCTGGAGCCGACACCATAGTTTTGTCACAATACTCGCAGTAGTATCTTTTACCCATTGTAGTTTTATTGTTATTAAAATAATAAATAAAAACGAAACAAACTGCAAAGCAGCCAGCAAAACAAACAAAATGTCAATTGATGTCAATGTCGCATTGACTTTGACAAGTTTGACATTTGATTGTGACAATTATTCAGGGTTGCCATAATAAAAAAAGGTAATCAATATGTTTTTTTAAATTTAACGCACTGGGTAAACCGAGATTAACCAATGCTAAAAAACAACCAAAAAAGCTAGTACGCGTATAAAATGTTGAAGCGGACGCGGTCGCTCACGTACTCACACTGACGTAATATGTGTGTTCCTACCACAGATATGGATTGGTTCCTACTCACAACATATAAAGTCATTCAAATTCAAATATCGAATATAGGATTCGAGCTGCGCAGGATCAGTCGTAAAAATCCTTGGGGGAGGCCTTTGTCTAGCAGTGGACACAAGATGCCACAATGATACAAATTCAAGATGCTATAGCATCTTAGAAGCAGTGTCGTCCGTAATATAAAATGAAATACCTTACACTGTTCCAATTGAGGTAAATTACCTCTAGAAGGTTAATAAAATACCATTGTATTTGTACAAATTATACTTTAAAAAACTTTATAACTTACTACAGTTGGTCTATAATTACAAAAAATAATTATAATGTTACAGAGTGTACCGTAGATAGTTGGGCACACTGTAAGTAACCTGTAATGGTTTAAAAAAGTTAGGAAACTGCTGAAGGTTGTCTTGAGGTCTCACCTCTAAAGGTTTGGGCAGTTTATTGAAGAATTCCTCGAAGTGAGGCAAGTTCGACAATGGGCTTACACTTGTTTGGGACGGTTGGAATGGGTAAGAATTGAAGTTATTGAAAGGTTTTTGTTCGTATGAATTCAAAAAGTTTTTCTGTAAAGGTGGGATGTTTGGAATAGGCAACGGGATGGGTCTGAAATTGTTTTGTGTGGTGATTTCGAACATGGGAGGCTGTAATGGCGTTGCAGGCCTCAAAAAGAAGTTTTGCTTGTTCTGTAAGGGTAGAGACATCAGAGGCGGAAGAAGCGTTTGACTCGCAAGATGTCCGAGGCTATCTGAAACAAAAGTCGTGGTTATTCACATAAAATTATTATTATAACAAATTCATAATAACTAATTACTCAACGGCACAACAGAATAATAGCGGAGGGTCTTGCATTGCGTCTAGTTAGCCTGCGTCAAATTTTACATCAGGGAGTTGGACAACTGGACAACTGAAGTAAATATCTTAAAGCTAAAGTTTCAGAGGGTATTGATGTCTGTTTAATTTTTCAGTAAGTTTCAGCTCTTTAGAACAAGCAAAAGAAGCTTATATTATATGGAATGGTCATTTAATGATCCCACCTCTGGGAATTGACAATAGATCAAGCAGTCTACGCTTCAATTGGGTGGGCAGGGAACTGAAACGGGCACTGCCGTTGGAGCGAGACAGCAGATGTAACACCGGATAACGCTCTGGATCTGGAGCAAAGAAGAGCTATTACACAGGCTGATCTTTTTGGGGAAAGAAAACCAATGAATGGTCTATGATTAGCAACTCTGCGATAGAATCCAGAATCGGCCCGGAATAATATCTCCGTGGATAAGTAATGTATGTTCATTTCTTGCCTGTGATGTTAGTATTTTATTGTATAGTTGGAGCTTCAAATTAATTTTGGAATGATTTGGGTGCAAACATATTATTTAAATTAGTTTCATAGTGTTTTATTTGTGTAGGTAGGTAATAATCAAATTTCTTGACCAATTTTGTTTTAGATGTTTGCGGATCTTAAATAGGTACATTTCGTTAAGTAGGTATGTAGTTTGATGGTTTACGTACCAAAAGAGGATCTGAAAGGTTCTGCAGCTTTAGAGAAGTCACCAGACCCAAATATCGCACTCGATTCATCGCTGAAACTTGCTTGACTCCTGGATTTGTCTCCAGCTCTTGCTTTAGTTTCGACAAGCGTTTCTAGTGGGTTCGACATTCTACGCGTAGATAGTTTAAAATCACTTTCACTTTCAGATACTAACGAAGACACATCATCAGATTTAGCAGCTTTCTCCGTATCTTCTATTTTGTCTTCATCTGCACTTTTGACTTTAACCGCCGACTTTTCTTCTGCAGCTGCATCATCAGCTCTTTTAACTTCTGAACCCTTCTTTTCAACTTCTTCACCTTTTTTTGACAAATCATCATCTTCAGATACAGTTTTGGTCTCTGCTTGATCTTCTTCAGCTTTCTTTTCGCTTGCCTTATCAGATTCAGCAGTTTTTACTTCTGCATCTTCTTTCGCAGATTTCGGGGTTTCATCGTTTGATCTCCTGTTGTTAACGTGTTCAGTTTCAGAAAAAAGTTTTTCATCTTCACTCAGTTTTAAGTCTGCATAGTCATCGAAATCTACATCACCTGTAGTGGCTCGTTCAATTCGTTCTTGTTCTTCTTTGTGTTCATCAGCTTTTCTGACAGCTTCGCTTTCAGTTACTGCATCGCCGACTACTTCTACTGGAACTGTGTAAGATTCGGCTTCACGGTTGACTTCTTCTGCTGTTTGAGCGGCTTCTGTATTTGCACTTTTAACTTCTGCTTCTGTAGCGTCCTACAAATTCAAAGAATAACATCACCGAGTGGGCAAACATCTCGTAGTACTGATGGCCATTGGGACAGAAAAGTTTACAAGTGGCGACCAACCACAGACTGGACAATGTAGGCTAGGTACCTCTCAATCAGTGAAGGTCACGGGAAGCACCTGGATGCGGGCAGGACAGGACCGGTCGCTGTGGAAATCCGTGGGGAAGGCCTTTGTTCAGCAGTGGACGGCATTTGGTTAAAACAAAAAATATCACTGGTAGATAGAAGTGTGGCTAGACTCACTTACTTGAGCATCTTTGTCCTCAGCAACCACTTGGCTAATTAACAAAACCGTTAAAGCTAATGTTATTCTCATGATTGCGTAATTGTTCTTTAATTGTGTTAACACAGTGCCACAAAGGCTGCAACTAGATGTAGTCACTGTTGTTCTTATGGTTAGGTGACCGTGAAATCGATTTGGTGGATTGACTTCAAAATGGCACGCGTAAACAATTCAGTAAGTAGTGTTTATTTCAGTTTACTGCTGATTAATGTTTACGCCTATTAGGGCAGTTCAGCGTCGATATGGAAGGATGTGGAGCGAGAGTCGACACAATGGAATATCTATCTTCAATGTAACTGAAATGAATTACCGTAAAGATACTGTTTAGGTATAGGAAACTTAACAATGCCAGTTTCAGATAGGCATCTTTTGAGGCTATATCAAATCCCGTTGTGTAACAAAATTCAAAGAGAAAATTTCTCAATGGCTTAAAATATGGGACAGATTAAGGAGGAGGTAACATTTTCAGACTTTTAAAATTTTAGCTAAGTATTAAACTAATATTTATAGTTAAAATGTCCATTGTTCTAAAGGGACTAGACAGTTAATTTTATTTTCGTTCTAGAGGAAGGTGATTGAAAATTATTGTAATTTAGGCCATAATCTGGCAATCACAAACATCAAAGGAATTGAAAAACCTACAAACATTATTTTGCTCCCGCTAGGATTAGAACTCCCAGCTCTTGTTCTAGTCAGGCACGTGAACCACTAAGCAAGCGGGTGGGGCGTATACAGGGTGACAGGGAAACTCGACCTATTCCTTGAAAGGAATTATACTAGAGGTCATTAGCTACAAATTAAGTCCCGTGAACCAGGGATTTTTTTTAGAAATTACTGATTTTTGCCAAAAACAATTTGACACCATTCCCCAATAATTCGAAATCACAAGTTTTCTAAAAAGACACTTCATTCTGGTCTTAAAAACTTAATTAATTTTAAATTACCTGTAAATTACGATTTTAATTGAGTTGACAAAATAGTGACGTCACTTGCTTGTAGTGCCATACAAAATCAACACGTCTATTGTGAATAAACTACTCCACTCTAAACATTGAATCCCAACGAATAGGTCTAGTTTCCCTACTGTCACTCTGTATTATGGTCTAGTGCCCCCAGGATGTTCGACTACACCGATTCGAAGATGATACATAGCTGTTGTTGAGTACTTATACAGTATATTGGTAATTTGGTACTTATCCATGAGCTGTGATACTAATCGCACCCCCCAAAACTAGTTTTGTATCTGCAAGCGGCTATAAAACTACTTTTACTTTCATGTATCAAAACACGATTTATGAATCACCCTGTATAGAAAAGATAGTGTCCATGTTTTAATTAAAAACTCTAATGCTGGTGAGCAAAAACAGAATAATTTCAACGTCAAGTCATGACAGAAAAGATGATGTTTAGACATTTTTATAAGATGAAGAAAGCGTAGAAAGTTTTATTTTTTGTATCAGTATTTGTAAATATTTTACACACTGATTGGTGCTTAAAAGTACTGGAATGGTATGATTTGATATTGTTGCACATTATTGTTTACTGTCGATAACTCATTAACTACGTTTGTAGCCTACACCCTTCATGTACCAGTAGTAACAAGGCTGTTCGAACAAGTCTATACAACCCGATCAAACTAACTGCGAGCTACAAGGTGGACCGACGACATCGTAAAGGTAGCAGGAAGGCGCTGGACGCAGGCCGCTACCAACCGGGCAACATGGAATGCATTGGGGGAGGCCTATGTTCAGCAGTGGACGTCCTATGGCTGAGATGATGATGATGAAGCTTACGTCGAACATTGCTGGAATGCAACTCTCCCTTACACTCGTATAATTTCCTGCGTTCGCCCCGTCCCGTACCAGAGCGTAGATGTGACGTCACGGCTACCAGGTGCGCTGTTAACTCTTTCGGGTTGTATTGTATCTAACTATAGTTTCTACACGCGTAGCTTTTACCGTGAGAAAAATCAAATCTAAAACGTATGAACTGGACAAATCCAGGCTAAGTACCTAGTTATAGTATGTATAATAACATTTTGTCTAGTCATTAGGTACCTACCTACTGGTCAGAAATGAGTGTATTTGTTAAAATATCGGCGATGGCTCATCACTGCGATCTAAGGTCCTAACAGAGCCATCTGTTAGCTGCGTAGGGAATGTCGGAATGGTTCAAAGAATGCCTTAGAAGAAAGTCACAAACAACCACGAAAGTTCAAGCGATGGTAGCAGTTGTCAATCATCATCATCATTGTCATCGCAAAATTTTGTTAAAGTATGACCTATTTTGATGAAGGTCGCGGAAAGCACTGGTCTCCACAATCCTTGTCCAGTATTGGACGTCTTGGCTGAAACGATGACGATGATCAGACCTATCTTAAAAATGGAACTACAAGATTAGTCCTATTATCAATAACTTCAAGTTAATTATTTATTAAGGCGGATACAAAAGGGGGCGCCACCGGCGGCCGAGGGAACTTCAGGGTGCTGAATCAAACCCAGGCTGAAGAGGATGCTTTCGACTACGTGTCGCTTCGAGACAATCCTCATCCCACCGGGTGAGTTACTAGATTTTTTACAAAAGAAGTTGGAGTGAGGTGCAGGACTCTTTTCGAGGATTGTTTGTCCTTAAGTTCTCATTTTCATCACAAAACAGAAGGTCGTGGCAGAGTAAATACAAATGAGTAGGTTATCTTCACAGAAACGCACCGAGCGCGGTTTGTATGTGAGAGGGCCAATACGTATGCGGCGCGCACGCACACACTGACAAAATTTATCGTGGATTATCGGGGAGTCAGTCGTGGTTGTGGTGGTTGGCCCAAGGTGTACCCTTAGTGCAGCACAAGGTAACAACTGGCGTTAGGACACAAGAGCCATTGAAGCAGGAAAGCCAAGGTCAAACTCCTCCGCAGATTCACATACGCTTCGCGCACTTTCTTTCGGCTCCCTGCAGCTATAGATCGTGTCATCCACGAAGACGCACCCCACCATTCTTCCGCTAATGTTTTGAGTGTTATCGGTACACGCTAATTTATCCATGAGTGCACACGCACACTACAATAATGACGCTAGGATTGCTCGGATCAAACTCCCCGCACCCCGCGCTTCCCTCGACCAAAAATTGGTGGGGCGCGTCTTCGTGGATGAAACGATCTATACTGAATTTTTTTTCTTTTTTCTTTCTGTCATCGTAGGATGGTAGCAGCAATAGCCCACATGGTGAAGGGGGCCCTTGGAGGCGGCATCCTGGGAGGCCACGTGGCTTACTCCAAGGCTGGGCTCTATGTTGCTTTGCCTCTCCATCTCTTCTTTGGGCTGTACATAACCTACTGTCTATACGTAAGTATCCAAAGATTAGTCCCTTACTAATATAACTTAGACGCTCGTTGAAAATGACATTTAGTATGGAAATGCCATTTTAAAACGGTGTTCAACAAGCATATTTTATAACTTTTTATAGTGAAGGGGATAGCATTAACTCTTTTTGTTCTACGAGAAAAAAACATCCTGTGTAGGGCGATCAAAATAGATTTATTGAAGAATAGATTTATTGTTGTTAACTATCTAAGATACAAATAGATTTTTTTTAACCATTCAAAGACTTAAAGATATGCCTTGAAGAGGCTCCGATTGAAATTGGGTAGGACACAAGGAAAGAAGTAGTGAGGGCAGGTCCCCCAATAGGTGGACTGACGATCTGGTGAAGGTCGCAAGAGGTGCCTGTGACCGGTCGTTGTGGAATACCTTTGCGGGAGGCCTTTGTCCAGCTGTGGACGTCATTTGGTTGAAACAAACAATGGCTAAAGAGGAACATGCATTAAGAAGTTTCCAATTTTCAGCTGCTGGTTGAGTCCGCTCAGATACTGTACAAGCGGACGAAGATACCCTCCATGTCTTATCCCGACGTGGGAGAGGCCGCCATGGCCTGTCATCCGAACCCCAAGGTCGCGAGAATGGCGAAATGGTTCAGGTAACTGCAGTAATCTTGAGATGTAACCTAAGGGAGCTCACAGACGAGCGACAGTACCTATATCGGCGACTGCTTGCTAATTAAGTCGGCCAGTCGTCGATATTCAATTAGAAGACCGTCGCCCACGCATCTCGGATACCGCGATGGTATAGATCGTTTCATCCACGAAGACGCGCCCCACCAATTTTTGGTCGAGGGAAGCGCGGGGTGCGGTGAGTTTGATCCGAGCAATCCTAGCGTCATTATTGTAGTGTGCGTGTGCACTCATGGATAATTTAGCGTGTACCGATAATACTCAAACATTAGCGGAAGAATGGTGGGGCGCGTCTTCGTGGATGAAACGATCATACCCGACAGTTGCTGTTGCGCGGAGTGGAGCGGAGAGATGTAGAAAAAATTCAATCTGATGGGTTCAAAACATTTCTCTCGGTCTCATTTCTGTCTTGGTGGAAACTGGGCCTTAGAGTCTGACATTTCCAATCGGTGTCCTCCAAGACATCGCATCACGTAATGCAGTGCGAGACAAATGTGGAACTTGTCATTTTGCAGTATTGGCTTTATCGAGTCATAATAATAATTGTATTTTTAATATAGATATTCGATAGATGCAATCATCTGCCTCGACCTGTTTGGTTCCTGTGCGTGCTACCAGCTCATAATAGCTAAATCTTTGAAGCAACTGGTAGAGAATACTCAGACTACGTCCATGGACGGGATGTCAGCAGGTATGTCATTTTTGTTCGTTTATCCATCCATTACCATTCACGACCTCACCTATATTTACGAGTATAGGGTTGAACACCATACAGATCCTTGTGGGTCGAACTGCTAGAAACTATGCTTAGAAAGGTTGAGTATAAATGAATACATTTTTCAGGTTACCCCTCGTTGCGAGTGTATATGGCAATCATGATCGTGCCTATCATCTTGATCTGCCTTATAAGGCATCTGAAGTGGCTGGCGCCGTTTTCCATTGCAGCCAACCTGTTTATAGGTGAGTAAAGGACCATAGCTGATTGCTAATTTTTACCATTATGAAGCTCCTAACACAATGAGCATTGGGGGAGGCCTATGTTACAGTGGACGACCTATGGCTGAAATGATGATGATGATGATGAACACAATGAGCAGATTTTCAGCGTAACCAACACATTTTAGAGAGTCCCTGCGCTCCCTGCGCGTTCGACCGCGATGTTGAAATTATTGTAACAATTTGAAATAGCAGAATCGACTTCACAAGAAGCCACTTCATCATCATCATCATGTCAGCCATAGGACGTCCACTGCTGAACATAGGCCTCCCCTAATGCTTTCCACGTTGATCGATTGGTAGCGGCCTGCGTCCAGCGTTTCCCTGCTGCCTTTACGATGTCACTTAGTCACCTATTATATTACTGGTGCTAAAATACTTAACATGCCCGTTTTCACCATCTGGAATTCTGTTTTCAAAGGGGTCACTTAAAAATTAGGAATTGATGGGGAAAACGGGCATTTGTAGGTAATCTGCAAAGCCTCAAACCAAGCTTTGGAACTAGGTTAAAGGGTACCTAATTGCATCAACTGTGTTTGAACTGTATTTTAACTTATTTCCCAGTGATTGCTCTCGGCACGGCTGTGTTCTATGCCATCAAAAACAATCCCGGTTTCACTGGAATGAAGCCGTACACGAGCTTCTATAATTCACTGGAGTACACTGGCATGGCCGTGTTCAGTATGTCGTGCGCCGGAGTCGTGATACCTGTGGAGAACAATATGAGAGATCCGAAAAAGTTCAACGTTTCTCTTGTGATCGGTATGTGGTCTTTCTACTTCAAATTCAATTTAAATAGTAACCTGAGCCATGTGGTTACGACAGAGTAGAAAATTACTACCCTTACTCTTCCCGTGGATGTCGTAAGAGGCGACTAAGGCTCCTCGCCCACGGCGACTTTTTGTAGCGATGCAGTAGCGATTCTGTCGCGCGTCTGTCGCGATGCAATACTGTCGCGCTTCTGTCGCGATGCGAACGCGATTCTGTAACCCTCCCTCCGTTCTCTCCCCGATGTCTTCCGACACGGTTGCGCGTTTGCATCGATACAATCGCGCTGCTGTAGCGCGTTAGTATCGCTTTGGCATCGCTTTTCTGTAGTCCGTCGTCCGGGCGTTTTCAAGGCGAGAGTGAATAGGCACTTACAGGGCAGATATGTACAATCCTAGACTGCATCTCACTTAACACCAGGTGCGATTGCGGTCAAATACCTGCCTTGTTTAGCATAAAAAAAAATGCGACTAACGCGCGTTAGTAGCGATGCTGTTGCTTGTTTACGAAACGCACGACAGCATCACTACAAAAAGTCGCCGTGGGCGAGGGGCCTAAGGGAGATATGCGAACATCAGGCCTCCCTAACTCGTGGGGAGTGTAAATGATTTTAGAGAGGATTATCATTCAGTAGTGGAGATTAAAATAATCTGATGATGGTGAAGTAATAACAAATTAGATCATAATATTTTAAGTCCGCCTGGCTAGCTACCACCATCTTACCTAAGTCTGTCGCCATAACAACAATGTTAACAGCATTGTTGTGTTCCGGCAGTTAGAGGTAAGATAGCCAGTTCCTCCGTGGTTGAGGATTCCGGGTGAAGCTCGCTTCCACCTTCGGCCTGATCATCACTTACCGTCAGGTGAGATACAGGCCAAGAGCTTCCTCGTTGTGGATAAAAAAAAAGAAGATTACTTGATATCTACTATACTTCTAGAATGTCTGACTGATTTCTGAAGACCACTGGAAAATTGTGTTTCATCCACGAAGACGCGCCACACCAATTTTTGGTCGAGGAAAGCGTGGGGTGTGGGGGAGTTTGATCCGAGCAATCAAAGCAATCCGAGCGTCATTATTGTAGTGTGCGTGTGCACTCATGGATAATTTAGCGTGTACCGATAACACTCAAACATTAGCGGAAGAATGGTGGGGCGCGTCTTCGTGGATGAAACAATCTAGACGATCTATAGTTGTCTTGTTGTTTACATAGGAATGACTATAATCGTGATTGGAACTGCGACGGTGTCGTTCTTCGGTTATGCTGCATTTTTGGACAAAAGCGAAGCGCCTATTACTGTTAACTTTCCTATGTACTTGTGAGTATTCGCACTAATGTTTTGCTTATTCGCTGTTGGTGTAAAGGAGACTACTTGGTGGGCTGAGTGTGAGTGTGAGCGCGTTTAAAAATGTATGAAAATTTTAGTTTTTGAACGTTTCCCGCTAGGGGCGCTGTACAATCCGTCATCGCACTCACTAGTGAGCGCGTTTGATGTAAATTAGCACTAGGCCCTCAGAATAGTGTAATTTGCGATCTTCTTATTTATTATCATCACGGTATTAATTTGAATAATGATGACAAATTCGTGTACATAGCTGCATGATGATTGTTTGTTAATTTGTCTCTTACTACACTAACGCCCGTATTCACAAATATTACTATGAGGTCTCACAGTGCGTGTGCGTGGATGTACAGGGTGACACACGAACCAATCACAGAGCTCTATTGAACGCTGCGCGCTCGATTTGCTGCTTCACTTAAACAAGCATCGTTTGTGAATACGGGCGTAAGTATTTACAGTAACCTTTACTTGTATCTTCACCAACTTTAAATTTTCAGGTTCCTGAAAATATTGAAGGGTTTGATTGCGGTCATGATTTACGTCACCCACGCTCTGAACTTCTGGGTGCCTTTCAACCTGTGCTTCTATTACATCAAGCCCTGCCACAAACAGGAGAAGATTGTCATGTGGGAGCTGTTCTACAGGGCTATCTTTGTCGTTGTCATTAGTGTAGTGGCGATTATATTCCCGAACATCAACGCCTTGATGGGATTTGTAAGTATTATTAATTGGTATTTTCTTTTTCTTGTGTGACTCATCATCATCATCATCATTTCAGCCACAGGACGTCCACTGCTGAACACAGGCCTCCCCCAATGATTTCCACAAAAGCTCGTTGGTAGCGGCCTGCATTCAACGCCTTCCTACCTTTATGAGGTCGTCGGAAGGTTGTGTGACTCGCAAATGGCAGAAGTTTCATGTCTACCGCGGTCACTATTCTTGATAGTAACTCACGATCCAAAGTCATCTTCTTGAATGAAGCGAGTACGCCAGGCTCGCCTGCTTGCAGAATGATTTCTGAATTTCTGAACTTGAAAGATCAAGGCACTGGTTGGGTTTTATTAGCGGCCAAGCTGTAGATCCTAGCTACACAGGAGTTGCAGTGGGAACGTTAGGTGGGAATAGCCCCGTGAAAGTGATTATGTTGCTGCGCATCAAAGGAGATTGGCCATGTCAGATGTAGTTAATGGTGTATGACTCTTGGAGTTGTTTCTATCAACCCACATGATAGAAGAAAACCAAAATGTGGGAATAGTCCCACCACCACCCATGGTTCTTCCTGCCTCACGGCGTACGAACCGAATCTCGGGAGAGCGCGCAGGTACTTGCTCTGGGCTCCTTTCCCCAAGCGCTTTGCTTGACTCCCTACAAATCTCTGATCCATGTCTCTTAGTCAATTCTTCCCCTTCTGGGGCTTGACACCACAAATACGGTACTTCGCGTCGGGCTGCTATCGTTGATAAATGTCATCACTTTTTCTCAAAACTTCGCCTGATTGTATGCCAGGAGTGCGCGAACTCGCGCAGCGCGATCCAGTTACTGCGACTATTCGTGAGATCCTGGTGATAAAAATGTGGGAATAGTCCCGTTGTAGGATGATTAATTCTGCTAACTAATCATGAATAAACATTTTTTCTTTCTTTCTTTCTAACGTTTTCTTTTTACAGCTGGGAGCCTTTTGCTTATCCAACATGGCGTTTATCTGGCCACTGTTTATCCATCTGCTGGTGATTTGGCATAGACCTGGCCTTGGCAAGTTTCGGTGGAGGCTGTGGAGGTGCGCCGTCTTATTGGTCATCGGATTCTTCCTCCTCTGCTGTGGTAGCATCGTCAACTTATACGAGCTCGTATCTGTATTCAAATAGTCATTCTTAGTCATCATTATTAGGATCGCGATAGAGTGTACAAATCGTTGTGATACTTTTTATCTTTATTAATTTTTCACTTACTTTTGATATATCGGGCGGGTATTTGGACTTGGCGTTTAGTCCGCAAATTATTATTTATAAATTTTTAATGCTGGTGAAGCATTTATAGAAGTACATTGTATTTTTAGTAACTTTACAAGATATTGTTATTATGAATTTTCATTGCGAATTTGGACTGAAATAAAAATTTATTATTTTCTACTTTCCTCTTTTATTTTTCATTTGCTATCTTCGTTATTATGTATTTTATTATTTTTTCTAAGAGGTTAAACGATGGCTTTGCAAAAGAATACGTTTTTAGTGTAAATATTTTATTAACTGGTAAACTTACTTAAGTACTTAAATCACAAATTAGCTATCAATCCCTTAAGGTTAGAATAGGTACCGGCTATAAATAATAAAACTCCTATGAATAAGATGAAAATATTCTTCCACAAGCGCCATTTATATCGTCCAAGTCCTGGAGACTCCCACACCACCAGAAGTTCGATCAGGGATGGGAAAATGAAACCCATGTTTGACAAGCAGAATGCACCAAGCTGGAAAGAAGAATACTATTTTATAAACCTATGTATTAGGTATAAAATAAATAAATAAACAGGTGAAAAATCAGAAACTAAAACCAATATTTTAAAATGTGATCAAATAATCATTGAATTCAAGCTGATTGACCTAAGAAACAAAGAATTTCATACTGCGCACATAAAAGTTCTAATGAAGCAATGTCCAGATGCATGAACGTCAAAATGACGGGACCTCACCAGGATTTATGAGGTCAATAAAGTCCAGGGATTTGAAAAACAACGGTTCATTCCCAGAAGTACCATTTGACAGTTCCAAACAAATTAAGTTGCAGACGAAGTAATCGGAAGAAAAAGTTCCATTGGGATCTTTAGAAGAAAATAATGTCAATTGGTACTTCTGGAAATAAGGGTAACTAAAGATAGAACTACGTTAGAAGACCTTGAAGACTTACCAGTCCCATCAAATTCCCAATATTGGGGAAAGCAATAGCAATAGCCGTGATGATAACGATGAAGGTTGCTCTGTACACCCTCTCCCAAATCCAGTGCTTCTTCGGGTTGTGTTTCTTGGAGATGTAGTGCCAGACCAAGTTGAAAGGCGCCCAGAAGTTTAACGCGAACGTGACGAAGATCATCAGGGCCATGAGACATTTGAGGACCTTGGGAAATCTGAAATGTTAGAGATAGTATCTACATTATTTGAAAATCTGATCAGCGTGATGTTTCACGGAAACAGGAAACCATTAAACATGAAGATGATTAAATTAATAATGTGATTGGAGCTTTATTTCGTGTGGATAAGGGTTAAGTAGCTGCAAGAAGTCTCATCACCGTTTCAGCCATATGACGTCCACTGCTGAACTTAGGCCTCTCCAAAGGCAAGAAGTCTAAGTACCCTGAATTCACTAGTAGATGTAATTGTTATCTTGCGTTATCTTGCAGCTTTTTGTAGCTCTTTGAGTATACTATGCTATAATAAGTTAACTTTCTGTTCAAGTCCATCAACTGGTAGCTTAGTTAATAATTAATCCAATGCTACTCACATCTCTGATGGGAAATTCAAAGTGACTGGAGATATACAATTTTCTCCATAGCCCCAATAGCCGAAGAAACCCACAAGGATGAGGAACGACACCACAATGCACATTGCTGGAAAAGCACATCAAAAATTTAATCAAGAAAAATATCTACAGAATACAAAATCAGATAATTATTCAAGTAGGTATCTTACCAGCACTGAGCACCAAAGGGAATTGCTTGGGGTTCTTCATATTATTTTCTATTGGCAATGAAACCCCTATACCCTCCATACTGAAGATGGCAATGCCGCAGAATTCAAAGAAACCATAAGGGTTCTTCCAAGCTGGCACTTCTGATATCGGCGGAGCTTGCCTTAAGCTGTAGTAGACTGTCGCTACTACGCATGCCACTGTGAAAGAAATTAGTACAACAATTTACAATTTTAACTGGATTAAGTCTTGGAAAAGTACTGCGTTAGAAACGAAGGGCCCTATGAAGATTTCTTTTCGTTGTCATGTACATGTAGATTTATCAGGAGTACGAGTTAATTCCTTTAACTCCTTTTCGGTCAATCTCGTAAGGTTACAGGATAAGCTTCTTGATTTGGCAAGGGTATTGCACTTGCAATGCCCATAACAGTGATTTTATAACAAAAGGCTGCTCAACCTTTTGAAGAGTCGTACCAAACGGTGGATTCAGTCGTAAACGATGGGCCATTTACATTTCATATTTCAGTTACTCTCAGGACGAGCGCAATAAACACTCAATTATTAAGATCAAACCATACTTGCGCGGGTCACTTAAAATTATTTCCGTGGGCCTGGGGTTGAGCAGCCTTTGTAATAACATTATGTTCCAAACCATATGTGTATCAAATAATAAAAAAGAAAACCCCCTGATCAAAAGAACCGAACTCTTAACACTTGACAAAAAAGCAGGACAACAACTTAGTTCCAATATCTGATTCTATAAATAATAGCATCTTACCAATGAAAACGTCCGCCAGCAAAGTGAAAGGCGCCAAATACTTCAGCGTGGTAATCATACACATCAGCAGTATAGGCACCAGGAGTGCCAGCACGTATAACCTCAATGATGCCAGGTCCCCAGAGTCAAACTCTTTGGTGTCTTCCACCATCTGCATGATGGTTTTCGCTATGATGATCTGGTAGACGCAGCAGGCACCGAAGAGGTCTAGGCAGATCGTTGCGTCCACAGCATACCTGGATTTATCATTGTGGAAGAAACATGATGATGAAATATCAGAGAAGAGTTAAGTAAAAAATCTGCATTTTGATAGCTAAGTAAGCAATCGTTATTCAAATATCTTAGCGAATAGAGTCGCTTCTCAAACAAAATTTTAAATGGTTTTAATGGTCAATGGTTCGTGGGTTCGAGTCCCGCCTTAGGCCGGCAATACACGGACAGCTCGAGCAGTTAGTCAGTGATCAACATACACAGACCGCTCTTGCAGTCAAGAGTCAACAGCTTGAAGCTGCCAGTGATAACTGCTCGAGCAGTTGGTATTAACTGCTCAACAAAACACAAGCGCGCGCGCCGTGGAATAATGAAAGTGGGCGGAGGTAACTGCGCGAGAGCTGTCGACAGCTCGAGTAGTCAGTGTATGGCTGGCGACTGCTTGAGCGCACGATGAAAATTCACCGTGCTGTCGACCGCCCGTGGTTCGTGTATGTGCGTCCATAGAACTCTGCAGTTCACTGTGCAGTCGCACCTTGAAGCTGTCGACCCTGACTGCTTCAAGCGTTCCGTGTATTGCCGGCCTAAGGAAGCAGGTCATCGGGGCATTATTGTTGATATCAAGTATGAACTACCTACTACAGATCTAGCGCTTAACTGAGGCAATGTCTGAGGTATGGCGGCTGCACGGGAGGAGTGACATATGACGTCACAGAGCATACAAGTCTGAAGCACATCCCCTTCCATCATCGGGGAACCAGACGCAGGTTAGCGTACCATCCCTATACTGTTGACATTCCACCAGCTCGCACTAAGCGTTTCGATGACTCTTTTATAATGGGAACAGCTAGGGACTGGAATTCGCTGCCTGCTGCTGTCTTTCCCGAAGACTATAATCCGGGCATTTTCAAGGCGAGAGTGAATAGGCACTTACAGGGCAGATTTATGTACCATCCTAGACTGCATCCCACTTAACATCAGGTGCGATTGTGGTCAAATAACTGCCTTGTAATGCATAAAAAAAACAGATGTCTCGCTGAGGTCACTAAACAACCCTACCTCAGGCAACACTCAGCTATGCGCTAAACCTATAAATGAAAGATTTTGTTAAAAAAATATTTGCCATCGTCTTTACAAAGCATGAAAATTGTAAGTTTAAATCCAAAGACATACCTAAACCACTTACTATACTTTCGTAGCTTCGGGAAGGGGCCTACTTCCAAAGACGCTTCGGCCACGTCTGGGTACGACATCACTGGGATATGAAGCCTCTGACATAGCACTTGTGCTGATTTTACTAATAACTGGAATCAGGAAAATTAAAGATAGGTATTGTTGACTAGGATACGGGAGTATTCCTACCTCTCGTTCCCACCACTTTAATGCCTATGCGGATATGCTCCAATAGTTAGTGCGTCTCTCTATTCAGAATTCATCGGTTAAATTCTTCATAAGTTTAAAAAACAAAGTTCCCAATTGTATTATAGAAATAGAAATAAAAAAACTTTTTTGATACAATAGTATTGTTAGGGCATCACAGATTTAAATTAACCTCATTGCGCAAAAATGAATAATGATTCAGTGCTCCTGAAGGCACGATCTGAATGAGCCAAGTCAGACTTCCCCTAATATTTGATATAGATGACCCACGCTGAACTGTCCCACCAAACTCAATGACAGGGGGGCGCTACCATCGTTCAACTATATGGTTTCCAACATGGCAAAAATCGGAACCAGCGATCCGGTATTGACGGTGGCGCCCCACTGTCAATGTCATCGATAGGACAGTCCAGTATTTTGGAACTATACCAACCTTTTTTCTCAGTGGCTACAGACCACATGAGAGAAAAAGTACAACCCGATCGAGGTAACTGCGCACTGTGCACCTATCTGGAATGCGACTCCCTCGCACTCACCTGAACATCTCCCCGCTTTCGCCCCGTCCATACCAGAGCGTCGATGTGACGTCACGGCTGCCAGGTTGCTTCATCATCATCATCATTTCAGCCATAGGACGTCCACTGCTGAACATAGGCCTCACCCAATGCTTTACACGTTGATCGATTGGTAGCGGCCTGCGTCCAGCGTTTCCCTGCTACCTTTACGATGTCGTCGGTCCACCTTGTAGGTGGACGTCCCACGCTGCGTTTTCCGGTACGCGGCCTCCATTCCAGAACCTTGCTGCCCCATCGGCCGTCAGTTCTGCATACTATGTGCCCTGCCCATTGCCACTTTAGCTTGCTAATCCGTCGGGCTATGTCAGCGACTTTAGTTCGTTTATGGATTTCCTCATTTCTGATTCGATCTCGCAAAGAAACAACAAGCAAAGATAGTTGCTTATTGAAGACTTTATGCAGAACAAGAATAGGATAATACTCACATGAACACAATAAGTGATGTAAAACCCGAAGATAATGGTCATGCCCAA